ATTCAGCATCACGCAAATGCAGCTGCTCAACCAGAGCTTCAGCACGCGAGGCTCGCAACGCCTCCGCATCATACGCTTGACGCATAGGCTTCAGCTCTTGCTCCAAAGCTATCCCGGCTTGCTGCATCGTGTCAGGCTTCGCAGCTTGGCGCGCCAACTCACTGACCTGCGCCACCAACAGCTGATCTCGATCCACTCGGACACCTTCCGTTGGCGGGATCTGCACGGGATAATGATGATGCATTTCATACACGGCCGTTCGCTCGTGCACTAGTGCCACTTTTGCACAGCCACCACAGGCTGTCCGTCCACCGGGCCACAAACAACGGTGCTGACGCCGGAACAACAGTGATCTCTTGGTCTGCATCCGCCTCGCAGACACCCTCCATAGAAGCGCCATCCCATCCTCCTCGTACACGAGGTCTTCAATCTCTTGGCGCCTTGCCGCAAGATCCATACCATTGGCTTCTTCCCGGTAGTACGCGCCACCGGGTAATGTCCTGTCTGATATTTGGTCACTTGAATCGGCCATTGGTCCTTTGAGTTTTGCTTCAAAAGTCGGGAACACACGACGCGTCTTGCACAACTAATAAATTTATTGATGTGTCTTGGGATGGCGGTGATCAAGCGCCGACACAATGCGATACGAAAGCGGTAGTAACCACTGAGTAAAACACAAACTGATCATTATCTTCCTTATCAACGCGATCCTGAGAGATCCGCGATCCTTGAAAAAAATACTGCGATCTTCTAGGATATGCAACCGCCCAAGAAACTCATATGCAGGTTGGACCATCATTCCAACTCCAATGCAAATACAAAGGGCAGCGGTCGATGTCACCGCATCAACGATCATCGGGGACGACATGATCCGAGGGGTGAGCGGGGGCCAGAAGCGGCGCGTGACGGTGAGAGTGATGATGAACTCGGTCGTGTAGCTGGGCAACCGAAGCGACGCACTAAACAGGAACGCTTCGCGAATCGTCGCAGTTCCTTCGTGCATGTCGGTCTGTTCGCAGTACCCAAACACGCTGTTGAACGTCTGGCGGACCAGCGGATGCCCATTCACAAACATGTCGCCTTCGATGACACTGGCCGTCTTGCGGCCGGCAATCACGTCCATCAACGTCGTCTTGCCCGCGCCCGTCGACCCCATCAGCGCAGTCAACATGCCAGGCTGGAAGCACCCGTGGATGCCCTTGAGCAATTGGCGCGTAGTCTTGTTCTTGCGCGTGCCCACGTCAATCGTGTAGTACAAGTCGCGGAAGCTCAACGTGACGGGAACGAATGCCAAGCTGTTGACGTTGGAGTCGTTGGCCACAGCAACGACTGTCATGTCCGCGGTGGTCGACGAAGCTTCGCGCACGTTGGAGAACTGTTCACGGACACGGACGTACTTGCACATCACTGTCGTGAGCACTAGCAGGACGAAGAATGCCCCGGTCAAGAACACAATCCTCCTCAGACGTAGCCCTAGTTGGTTGGGATGCTATACGCCATGAGCGCCTTGTCCCCCAATCGCACTTGACCAAGAAAGTTGCTTCCCGGCCGCACCATCGGCAACATCGTGTCGTAAACGTCCGTGGTTGGCGCCGTGGATTCGTTGACGGCGAGCGATACGCCAATGGGTTGGTCCAAAAGACCTAGCGCCACGGGGCCGGGATCTTGTCCTCGGGCAGGATGTACCCGGAGAAGACAACGTGGAGGAAGAATGCAAAGATGGCGATGACTTTGGCAATGACAACGTCCGGAGCGATGGCGGTAAAGAACTTGAAGAATTGCGCGTACGTGACGGACGCGAGGAAGAGCACCGCCGCACACATCACGAACGATGCAGCGCTCGCGTGGAGGCCCACATTAAAGTACAGAGACGTGGCAAACAGAATCACTTGCGGAATGGTCCACAACACCTCGGCAACACCTTCCGACATCGTGTACGTCCAAAAGAAGTAGCTCGCCATTTGATCGTACAGGACCTTCCGGAGCGCAATGCCGGCGTCGATGGCAGACAGCGTTGTCACCACTTGAAACAGGATCGCCAAGAAGAACAGGCCAACCTTGACAAATCGAAACACTTCCTCTGGTCAGCGATTGCACCCAACGTCGAGAAACACGGTCCCAAGGACAGCCCCCAACACGACAGATTGCCCCATGCGAGTCGCCACGTCCCGCAGCGACGCTTTCAACGTCCGGCGAAACGCGACGTCCATGCACTGTCTGTATCGCAGAGCGACCCTCGGCGGAACGGATGGGAGATGATCGTTTGCCTGGACCACGGACACGTTGCTGTCGAGCTCACGGAACAACGCGCTGTCCTGGAAAACGGCGGCGAATTCGGATGGGGTCGACGGTACGTAGTTGAATCGTGCGGGATCGCGAACCGTGGTCCCAAGTGCGTCGTGAGTTCCTGGAGAAAGTCGGCAATGTCCTTGCGCGGCGGGCACTCAAACCCGATCGACCGAAAGTACGACGGCAGCGTCGTCCGCGGCCCGTTGTACACGACCTCGCCCTTGTCCAGCACTAAAACGTTGTCAAACATGTTGTACACCTCGGGCGGTGGCTGCAGCATCGTCATGACGACTGTCTTCTCCAACACGTCGGCCATCGTCCGCACCGCCTTGGCAATGTCGTACGTCGTCGACGCGTCGAGCCCGTTCGAGAACTCGTCGAGGAGCAGCGTTGTCGCACGGCCCGTCGGTGCGCGAGGCGTTTGTCGACGACATTTTGGACGTGCTGGAGCTGACCCCCAAGGCCGACGCCCAGTACTTGACCCTGAGCCAAGGCGAACGCAAGCGTGTGACGATTGGGGTCGAGCTCCTGTCGAACCCGAGCATTCTGTTTTTGGACGAGCCGACGACGGGGTTGGATTCCCGCGCCGCGACGATTGTGATGGAGTGCATCAAGCGCATTGCCGAGTCGGGCCGGACCGTTGTGTGCACGATCCATCAGCCGTCGACGGTGCTGTTCGAGCTCTTTGACAAGCTCCTGTTGCTCAAGACGGGTGGGGAACTCGTCTACTTTGGGGACCTCGGGCCCAAGAGCGTGCACTTGCTCGAGTACTTTGGCCACTTTGCCGGGCTCGACCCGATCGGCGCGAGCGAAAACCCGGCCACGTACATGCTCAATTGCATCGGTGCCGGGACTGGCGGGGCCAAGATCGACGTCGATTTTGCGGCGGCATACATGCAAAGCAACTTGGGCAATGCATCTGCCATCGAGTCGTGGTCTGCGCCGGTCGGCACAAAGTTGGAATTGTCAACCAAGTACGAACATTCGTTCACCACGTAATTCAAGCTGCTGGTCGAACGCCAACGGTCGTCGTACTGGCGGTCGCGGTCGTACAATGTGTCCCGCGCCATCTCGGTCGTGACGGTGCCGCTCATTTTTGGCTCGTGTTTCTCAACTCGACCGTCGACGTTGTGAATCAAATGGCGCTGATCTTCATGGTGACATCGTTCCTGTGCATTTCCGTCATAACGATGGCGATCCCATTCGTGTCGCAGAACCGCAGCGTGTATGACCGCGAATACGTGTCGACCATGTACTCGTCGGTCGCGCATGCGTTGTCGTTGGCAGTGGTCGAGTTTGTCTACTGCATTGGGCTCTCGATGCTGTTTCTCACGTGCTTTAACTGGTTTTGCGGTCTCAGCACGACAAACGAGGCGTGGATGTGGTTCTGGGTCTCTCTCGTCGTCAGCATGGCGCTGTGGTCGTACCAAGGGCATCTCTTGGTCTACGCATTGCCGACAATGCAAGTGGCCGTGCTCATGGGGGGCGGCCTCTCGGCGCTCCTGTTTGAGTCTTCCGGCTTTATGATTGACGGCAACGCGCTGTCCGAGGGATGGCAGTGGGCGTATTGGGTCAGCCCCGTGCACTACATGCTCGAGATCATTTTGACGACGCAGGTTCAAGGTCAATCCACGCCCGTTTTCAACGCACTCGACGCTTCCGCGATACGCATCAAGGATTTTGTCGTACAGCTGTTCAAGCGTTCTCGTTCGACAACGTCGGGCGGGACATGGCCATCCTTTGGGCCCTTATTCTTGCTCTCCAGGGCATGCTGCTGTATTGCATGACCAAAGTCAACCACACAACTCGATAGAAAGCGACGCATCTACATCAATAAAGTCGTTGCCGACGTCTTCTTCAGCAGTGGCAGGGATGGAAGCACCCCAACCTCGTTATGATGCATCGAGGGAGAGAGGCAGGAGAGAACCTTGCATGGATGACGATGACTTGTTCCATCGTGGTCACAGATTGCATATAGATTATGTGACAAGACGCTGGCTTCGGTGACTGACTTGACGTCCTCAGTGGCTCAACTTTTCTCATGCTTGAGGCGATACCATCGAAATATATCCATCTCCACAAAAGATGTCTTCATGACGTCAAGCTGCTGCGACGGTCCAAGCAGGAAGTCTAGAGCGCCACCATTACCACAGCTTCGACTCTCGTTGCAACTGCACCGAAGGCGAGTCCCGACCCACTGTCGCAAAACCAATGTGCAGCGTGGAAGATCAGGGCCACTTGATCAAGGTTACGCCAACGCCAGCACTGTTCCAACAGTCGGCTGTGCAAACAGCGGCCATCCTCATCCTTTGCTCGGGCACAGCATCGTGTGAGAGGCCAAGCCGGGTACGTGGCAACGCCACAGCACAGAGTCCCGCGGGCTCTGATTGGCCAGTTCCATCACGGTCCAACGATTGGTTGGCCAATCGTTTCGCGGAATTGGTTGGTGCTGGGAGATATCCGTGGCAGATGGTTCATTCATTTAAAGAGTGATAAACAACTGCCATTTTAACTGTTGACACAGGATACTTGAACGCAGGATCCATTTTACATGATTATTATTAATGCCATCATCTATTCCGTATCACCCCGCCAGAATGTCCATATCCAAACTTGCCAAGATGCCGATCGTAGCCAAGTCACCGTCGGCATTGGTGCCCAAGCGCAAGCGCAGCGACTCGACTGCAGACGAAAAGAGCCACAAGATTGCCCACAAAGGCTCGTCTGGCGCACAGTGGCGAGCGAATCACTCCATCGAAGTCATTGGCCCTGCCGCACACTACAACTGCCCCGACCCGATCTTGGCGTTCAAGGATACCCCGTTCTCGCCGGCCATTATCAAGTGTCTCGAGACGGCCGGGTATACGGCGCCGACTCCGACGCAGTCGCAGAGCTGGCCCATCGCGTTATCCAAGCAAGACATGATATCCGTCGCCAAGACGGGCTCCGGCAAGACAGTCGGCTTCCTCTTGCCTAGTTTCCACCACATCATGCAGCAAAAGTCGTCCGGACGCGATCCTCGAATCCTTGTGTTGGCCCCGACGCGCGAATTGGCGACCCAGATCGAAGTGGAGGCCAAGAAGTTCAGCCGGGTCCAGCCCGCCGTGCGCACCGCGTGTGTGTTTGGCGGCGCGCCAAAGTTCAACCAGCTCAACGCGTTGTCCACAGGTGTTGACTGCCTCGTGGCGACCCCCGGTCGCTTGAACGACTTCATTCAAATGCGCAAAGTCAACTTGGCGAACGTGTCGATTTTGGTCCTGGACGAAGCCGATCGAATGCTCGACATGGGGTTTGAGCCGCAAATTCGCACGATCGTGGCGCAAATCCCTAAGAACCGCCAGACGCTCCTCTTCAGCGCCACGTGGCCCAAGAGCATCCAGAAGATGGCGCGGGAGTTCCTGAAGCATCCAGTCCAAGTCAACATGGGCGACATCAACGTGCTCCAAGCGAACAAGGACATTGAGCAAGTCATCGATATTTGCCGCGAAGACGAGAAGAAGGACAAGTTGATCACGCTCATGAATCGGATCGTGACGATGACCGACCCGACCAACACGGACGTGACCGAGCACGTGAAAACTATTGTGTTCTTCCGCACCAAACGCACTTGCGAACGCCTCGGCCAAGAATTCTGGGACGCCGGGTACGCAGTCGGATGCCTCCACGGCGACAAGGAGCAGTTCGAGCGCACGCTGACCATGAACCAGTTCAAGCAAGGTACGGTCAAGCTGCTCTTTGCGACGGACGTCGCCGCGCGCGGCCTGGATGTCAAGGACGTTGGTGTTGTCATCAACTTTGACATGCCTGGCGGCACCAACGGCATCGAAGACTATATTCATCGCATTGGACGAACAGGTCGTGCTGGGGCCAAGGGGACGGCATTTTCGTTCTTTACGTCGACCGACCAACCTTGCGCGAAGAAATTGATCGAAATCCTCACGGCGGCACATCAGCCAGTGCCATCGCAACTCGCCGACATGGCGACCCGTAAAGGCGGTGGCGGAGGTGGCCAAAAAGGCGGTCGCTTTCGCGGCGGCGGCGGACGCGGCGGCGGCTTCCGCAAGAAGTGGTAAATATTTCTTATTCTTATTATAAGCTACAATACAAGCGACTTGTTGTCGTCGTCGAGTCGTCTGCCATCGACAGCGATGCCATTGTTCCAGTCCAGGATATCTAGGAAGGCACGGCAGAGGGAGATTACTTTGTGTTTCGCGTCCCAGATCGTAACGTGGCAACGACGAGATTCGTGTTGACCTTTACTCGGAAACGCTATCCACCATGGCTATGGTCCAGGAAAGTGGCTTCCGTCACAAAACCGATGCATGTTTTTCCGCAAACAGCACTCCAAGACGTACTGGCCCGGCGCTTACAGATTGTCGCTTGCCACTACTGAAAGCTGCTACAGCACGGTGCTGGCTGCGATCCTTGTGTACCCATCCTTTTGGCTTTGCATTGTGGACAGTCGCTACACCAGTTCGTGGTGGGGGGTTCTCGGCCGTCATAACGAGCACCGTGTTGTTGTGATCTTTCGTCGTGCTAGCTCGTGGTGCTCTACTAGCTACGTTTGGCTGCGCTGTTGGGCGGAGGCTTTGCATCGCTCTCTTTGTATTTTCATGTTGACGTCACACGCTCGAGGTCATGTAGTGGATCACCAACACGCAGTCGTCCTGGCCAAGACGGATGTCGCCATCCACATGCATGCCATCCAATTCTTTAACAGCACCTTCTCGGCTAGTCTTGCTCTAGGTCGTCATCGAGGTCGTCCAGGTACTTCCACTGCGCTAAGCGGCGGCCATCCCTCACAAGTCCCGCTGACCAGTCCAGAAACTTGTGGGAGACGTCGCTCGGGTCCACAAACACAATCATTCGTGTTCCTGTTGGATTGACTCTCTGTGCTGTAAATACACACTTCATTTCAGTTCCTGTTTGTTGGCAGGTCGACATAAATGGCACTGGGTAAGTAGTTCCGTTTGCCCCATTCGGATCAAGGAAGGTTGTAACACCGAGCGCAAATCACGTTGCGGATACAATACGTGTGAGTGATTGACCTCTTATGAGTCCCTGTCGTCGACTTACCAGCGTTTAAAGTTGAATCCCGCTCCTGCAAACGCGACTGCCACGCACGCGTTGTACGTCCTGCATAGTTGACAACATGACGGCAGCACTACAGATTTCCATTGCTCAGCAAGAGCGCGTCGCATCCTCCATTCCCACGAGCGGATCGCAACACCCTCTCGAACGACCCGAGTGGATCGCTGCACACATGCATCCATCCCTTGCATCGTTCGCGTGCCCGTTGATGATTGTGGAGAAGGATTGCTGCGAATGGATTGGATGCACATTGTCCAATGGCATCGCGCCATTTGTGTAACTTGAGGTCACTGTCCATGTTTTCAATCGACCAATGGCAGGGCGCGATTTGTGGAAGCGCCGCGATCTTTTGGTGATGGTCATCGCGGTCTCGTCCAAATGGCCGAGCTCGTCATTGTCGAATTTCACTTGTTGTACACACGCGCCACCGCCATGGGAAATACTGCGCTGAAAGCCGTCTGTGTCCGCGATGACAGCCTCGACATGTACACGGATGTCGTCGACGACTCGTACCATTCGCCTGGTACGGACACCAACGACGACGAGCCGGTCATCGAGAAGACTTTCAACAGTGCGTTGGGAGATCTACGATGGGACGGTGACTTGGTATCGCTGCATCTCCAAACCAAGGACGACGTCCACGAGGATCAAAGCGAACGATCCGCGACGCGGCAGAGCCGACGGCGGTCGCCGATCAAAGTACTCCGAGCGATCGTTTCCCCGAGCACCTCCGTGACGACGACAAAGTCACCACAAGACGCGTATGAAGAAGTGTGTGACCAATTCAACGTGATCTTTGACAAAAACGCCCCATTCTCCAAGCCAGTACTACCAGAAATGAATACTACAAACAGCAACGACGTCGAGCTCCGTGTGGAACGAGTGGACGAGATGTCGTGCCCTGATGGCGTCACGGAGTCCTGCAGCTCATTACCCGCGGCAAATGCACAGCCCGAGCTCCCGAAGCGTATGGATGAACCGCAGGTCACGCCATTGATAAGCGTCAAAACACTTGCCGACTGGCCCGCTCACACGTGGAAGATTGAAGACGCCATCCGCGAAACAAACGATGAAGACGACCTATGCAGCACGGCGTGCTCGTCCGAGTACGCCACAGACTTGAGCGATGACGACGAGGTAGACTCTGCGGACCACCTCGTGTCGACGTTTGCGTGCTCGTATCGCCGGTCGTTGTCGTCCATGAGTTCGACGCCCATCTCGCAGGACGACATTCCGTTCGTGTTCGCCGCGCGGTCCCACTTTATCGTGTCCGACTACATTTGTCCGTGCAACGACTGTCCATGGTACAGTGTCATTGACAAGCACGTGCAGCAATCTGTCCATGGAGTGTCGACGAAAGTGAAAGGCCAGGTCATCCGCCTCCTCCAAGCATACTCAACCTACAACGAAGTGATGGGGTTTCGCCCTGGCATGGTCCAAATCGCCCGCGACTGCCTCTTCACGAGTTGCGGCCACGAAAACGACGCCTCTCGAGTCGTTTGTGATGTGCGTCGAGAGCGAGTATGCCAACGGGTGGATCTAAACCAAAGTAACGTGAACAAGCGTGTTATCTGTAAGTCGTAACAAGCGTCCGTGGACGTAACGATCGATGTGCCATAAACTCCTGGATCGTTGGGCCCTCAATTCGATTGTCGGCTGTGCCAAACTACGGTAGACTATGCTGTCAGTGTTTCAGGCGCATGACCAGGTCTTTCACATAACCGTGTACAAAGTTCATGAGCTGCTGAGATAGCAGTGGAAAAGGTCATCGGGATTGCCGTGGCCACGACGTTCTTCATGGGGATGTGCCATCCCAACTGGACTTCCATCGGCTTGTGGGGCCGATGCATGGAACATCACGATGGGATACGTAGGAAACGATTCCTATATGTGCAGTTCTGTCACTTCGAGTGGTCTGGTCGCCCTCTACCCCAATTTGCACCTCCTGGAAATGTGTGTCGGTTGGAGAAAGCGAGAATTTGACGAGAGGGGTGGGCGGTTCATGCAGAGCTCGCGACCGGACAGCCTTCGCACGTGCTCCACTCGACAAGACAGCCGGACGGAATGGTACAAGTCGAGGATGTATGAAAGAGTTTCACCACGAATGTTTCGACGCTATTATGGTCGGTCGAATGTCTCTAAGCCGAGGCCAAAGCGGCGACCATGGCAACGTGGGTTTCGTAAGCAATTTGGGCTTCGACCTTTTCGGGGGTACCGTCGGCGGCTTGTTCCAATGCTTGCTTGTACTTTTGGACGCCGGCCTCGGCGGCAGCAGCGTCAATGTCCTCGACCTTGATCAATTCCACGGCGGCAATGTCCGTGGTCGAGTTGGCGTGGGTGAAGGCGAAACCACCGGCAGTGAAGAACTTCTTCACAACCTTTTCACGCTCTTCGTGGACCGCAATCACACCGGGCTTCAATTGCGAGATGATAGGGGTGTGGCCCGCCGTGATACCATACTCACCGATCATGCCGGGCACTTGGACCAGGTCGACTTGCACGCCCTTGTAGAACGCTTGGTGTGGGGTGCTCAGGTTCAACGTCACCTTGGTGGCAGCCGCGCCGGTAGCAGCATTGTCGGCGGCCGCACGGATCGCGGTGGTGTGGAGGGAGCGGCGCACGGCACGGGACAACATGTTCCAGCAATGAGTCAATAGCAAGTCACTCGACGCCCGCGCCACAGCGACCACAAAAATATCCTCTATTTTTCAATAAAACTTGTGCAAACACATACACATCACCTGTGTAAATTGATTTTCCTTCGGCATTCAATACATTTACTTTCGTGACAAAATCGGGTGGCCCAACACTTCTACAAAATGTGCCCGATGACCTGGGAAGGGATGGTCCGCGGGACCTGGGGAGGAGGCGATAAGCGGTCCTGACGCTCTCCATGCCGCCAAAGGCGATGAATTATCACGTTATGGGAAGCTGTGGCGGTCTAAGTGGCCAAACTACGCACCGAGTTGTACAGGAACCGTTCCCACTCGGCAACGACCTCCCTGTTTTCCCAGATCAAGTGCTGTTTCTGCTGGATGCGTCGCGCCATCTATGGCCAAAGGTCACGATGAGTGCTTGCGGTGGAGGAGAGGGCAGAAGATGCGTACTTCGTTGCGATGCGCGGCGTCTGTGCCCAGTTTCAACGCGATCGCAACATATTCTTCGACGGTAGTAGCAACGAGCTCGAGGAGTCCCATGTGCTTGTAGAACGAGTACGCCATGCGACAGCGCAGAAACGGTGTCTTCATCGCGACCAGCGGCAGGCCCAGCAGGAGAGCATCCTACAAGTGCTTTCATCGCCACTTCATTCCACCTTCCGTGGAGCATCGCGCCTACCGCGGACGTTTTCGATCCGCCAAATGGAAACGGATGCAACACAACGTCCGCCACCGAGAGGAGCTTCAAAAAAGGGGCGCTGCCACCGACCCGCGGTAAAAAGTGCACGCGGCTCCACAGGTCCGTCGCGTTGTACATGGCGCTGCGAAGTCTCGTCTGGAACTGCTGCGTCCATAGACTACCACGACGACATGCGGTGACACAGGACACATCATTGTAGTGGATGCCGTACGCATAACGAGCTTCGAGCAGCACGAGGTGGCCATGGGGGTCCGTGGCCAGGATCTCGGCCAGGACGCTATCAAACTCTGGTACAAACTTGTACACGCTCTGGGGGCACATGTAGACGGTCCAAGCTTCGCTCAGGTTGTAGTCTCTGCAGCCAAAGGAACGTCAAAGCCAGCGTCGTCGTCAAAAAAGCGAACGATTCAGGAAGGTCGCTTGGGTACGAGTGCCCAGTACCTCCGATGGCCTAGTTGCGCTGGCACAGCAGGCTTGTCGTACCTGGAGTCGGATCACTCGCAACCACGCAGTGAAGTCAAAAGTGTGCACTTACCAAATGCCTAGGCCGGACAAGAGGACGACCTGCTCCGAGTAGTGCGCGTCGACGGCAGGGTCTGGGCTCGACTCCATCACGTCTGCCGAAATGAAGTAGTCCACGGTAGGAATGCCTTCGATACACGCAAAGGTTGAGATCGGACAGATCGCAGGCACCTCCTCCTGCAGTAGACGATCGTGACGAGGACTCACCCGACGTCGTGGGGTTGCCCCAGAAAGCCGCTTGAACATGCGCGAGCCGTCCAAATGCTGAAAAGTACGTCATGGGTTCACTCATGAGATCGGCAAACACAAGCACATCCAGTTGCAGCGCCGCCAAGTCCTACCCGCGACGCTCGGCCATTAGTACGATGGTTGGATCGACGCTTTCCAACGCGACAGGAGCAAGCCGGATGGAATGAGCTCCATGGCTTTGAAAGGCATGATGAGTACGACTACTACTAGGCGGAAACCGGGGCGTACCTGCTGGCAGTGGGCGAGGTGCATGCTGAGGACCTTGATGTCGTCTGCGGCGGCGGCCATGGCGGAATCCACGGGCTGCTGGGGATCAGGCACGACGACGAGCGTGACGTGGAATAGTTTACGGTTGAGATGCTGCAAGACCCCGCGGAGGAGCATGCCGTGCGCGTGATTCGAGACAAAGAACTTGGACATGAACCCGACGTGGAGTCGGCGCGGCGTCGAGTCGAACGCGATCAAGCTGCCGACGCCCACGCGAGTGTGCGGCGCTTCAAAATGCAGCGCCGCGCACGAGTTGCTGTGTACCTTTGCCAGTTTGGTCTACATCCCAACGATCACGTGGCGTGCATGGGTTTCGCCAATGCACCTGGAGATCGACGTCGTTCCGGCCTTGGTAGACCAAGTAGAAGGGGGGTCGCATTTCAAACTAAACCAGGCACTCAGCGCGGCACATGGACCTTTGTTCCGACCGCTTCGGGGTTCTCGACGTCCAGCGACGCCGCCAAAAGTGCGTCAAGGGCTGCATGCATGTCCTTCCTCGTCGAATCTAGATGTTCCTGAGACGTGTACACTTGCGGAAGCAGGGTTGCCAAGTCGATTCTACGCGCATCACGTGCATGAGCACGTCGTGAAAACCCCAAAGACGCAGTACAGAAGGACGTCGGCGTTCGAGACGTTGTATGCGTGCTGGAGCATCTGCCGCGCCATGGACAAGTTGCCTAGCAGGACAAACCAATTTGGCTCGAGTGGTGTGCTGCTGCGGCATACCCGAATCGGCGTAATACGTCTTCAAGTTGACATAACTCTGTGGAGTGGTGGGGTCGACCCGGATGGACTGTTCCAAGTACGGACGCGCGGCGTCGGCTTGCCCCATGTACATGAGGGCCGCCCCCAAGTTGTTGAGCAGCGCGACGTTTGTGGGCTGGCGGACAAGCAATTGCTTGTAAATTGCCGCCGCACGGTCCAACCGGCCCCGTTGCTAGAACGGCGGTGGAGGCACGCCATGCCATCGATTGTTCATACTTGGTTCAAAATTCCAACGTATTGCAGCGTCGGGTCGTGATGCGGGTTGATTTGGAGCGCTTTCTCGTAGTCTGCTTCGGCGCGATCGAAGAGGCTTTGCAAATGCAGTGCTTGCCCTCGCCCAGCATATCCCTACCCGAAGCCATCAAGATGGAGCTTGCAGCGTCCACTCAAGGTCCTGTACGCGGAAGTCGAAGGCGTCGATCGCGACCACGTGATTGAAAGCATCGAACGCAGAGACCGCGTCCGACTGTTCCAAGTAGATCGTTCCTGTGCCATGAGAAAGGATGAATTCCTTGGTTTGGACGAGTGGACGCTGGGGACACGAACCTAGTGTATCCCACGCCTCGAGATGCTGGCTATTGATGGTAAGAACACGCTGTAGCGCATCCATGGCCTTTGCGGACTCGTCCAGATCTTTGTACAGCCATGCAAGCACCAGCAGGCTAAACTCGGACCCATCTGTCAAGTTGAGACATACGAGGCCGTGAGTGAGCCCATCTTGTGGCCGATGGAGCTTCCGAAGGGTCTCAGCAAGGTTGCAGTGTGTCAATCCCGAGAGCTCCATGGATGGGGCGACGAGAATCGCTCGTTCCAGGTACGTTTGTGCTTCGTGGAAACGGCCCTCGTGGTACGCGACGGCTCCGAGGCGATGCCATGCCTCGACGCTGTCATTGTTGACTGCCAAGCCGGCGTTGTCTATTCCGTTGGCCTGCGCAACGAGGTTGACAGCGCGACTAACGTCACCTAGTTGGTGCGCTGCACTTCCCACTGCCGTTCCAGTTGCTTTTGCAAGCTGCCACGCCAGCGCCAAGGCCACCAACGCGCCCCCTCTTGCCCGCATTACGATCGATTTGCGATCTTGTAACATCCGGATATCGATTGGTGCCTCATTTCCGGACCGTTCCAAAAATTACCTTGGAAAAAAAATATTTTCCGGGCGGTTTTTGTCGTTTGTCCCATGTGTGACACACGTGCCTACGGATTTTTCGACAGTACCGTGAAAAAAAATCACTTGCCTAGATGGTGGCAGCATTTTCACTTCGGCCGAGCTGCCCCCACCCTTCTGACGACGATGGCGACTGGACAGTCGTGGATCGATGAGCAAGCGGCAGAGTATGCGGACCTTGTGAATGACTCGAGCTTCAGCAGCGTTACTGGGTACGTCGAGGACGACCCGACAGAGTACCAGTTGATTTGGGAAGGCGGGGATCTCGGTGTCGCGCTCACGACAAACCCTGGCGGCGCAGGCGTCAGTGTGAGTCGCATTACGGGCAAAGGGTTTCCCCATGGCATCAAAAACGTGGTGCCAGGTGATGTTCTCCTTGCTGTGAATGAACTCGACACGTTCAACTTGACGTTGGAAGACGTGGTCAAATACCTTCAAGAATGTGACTTGCCTGCTACGTTGCGCCTCACGCGCCCAGAGAACGTCACACGCAATGTGGAAGCCAAAACTCGCCAGTCCCTTTTGCAGAGTAGTCGCCCGTCGGCGTTGCAGCCTCGCATGTCTGCCTCGGCATCGCACAAGCCGCAGCGGCAGTCGTTCACCCCACCCACAATGATGAACGAAGGCGTGACGAGTCCCACGAATGCAGGAAAACCCATGGATTCCCGTTTATCTATGCAGGAACGTGGGTCTGTAATGAAGAAGAAAGGCATTGCATCGTCGAATGCCCCGCGAGCATCTACTGCTCACATGCCACCCCCTCCTCCAGCCGCAAAACCCCATCATCACCCACCACAAGCACCACCAACGTTAAAATCTCATGACTCAGCTACCGTGCCGCCTCCAGCAGCCCCTCCGATTCCAGTCACGGTTCCGACGTCGATCCTCAAGAAATCCAAGCCCGCCCCCGTCGCCCTTCCACCTCAACCACCCGTTGAGAGCAGCTTCAATAAGCTCTCGATTGCATCCAACGTGTCGGCTGCCCTTGACGCTCGTGGATCGGTGGACAACCGAACCTCGGCCGCGTCCAACACGTCCAATGCGACGGCGATCGCGGTTGAGGACGTTCCAGCGTACCAAGCCCCCGCTGCGTCCGAGGCAGCAACGTCCGCGGGTCCAGCCGCCGCGACGTCGTCGTATCCACCGATCGTCAACCGCGAGAACCGCGGCGAAAGCACCGTGTCCGACATGGCCATGATGGACTCGATGCACGAAGACGACTTGGCGATTTTGGACGAAGACGGAGAGAACCGCCACAACGGATCGTTCAACGAACACAAGGTGATGCTGGTCGAAGAGGAAGAAGAACTCGAGGACAACGACCCGCTGCACCACCACCATCGCCTCTCTGACTTGGACGAGACCAAGGAAGAGTTTGGCGACGACAGCGACGACGATGATAACTATGCGCCGCTCGTAATCCCACACACCGTTGCGCCGGCCATCCCGACCAAAACCACCCAACAGCCCGACGATCCGCCGCTGAACGTGTATATGCCTGGCATGGGTGGCCGTGACTCGACCAGCCACCGCAGCACGATCACCAAGACCAAGACGACTGAACCCGCGCAACCGATGAGCACTGTGCACGAAGCAGCTGCCAAGGGAGACTTGCGCGGCGTGCTCCCGTTTGTCCGCCAGGTTCGGAAAACATCTCGATCGACCATGCGTGGATGACGTGGGTGTTTTTTTTTCGACAGGACAAGAACGGGCCCGAGTGCCTCATCCGCCGCGAGCCGAACCACGGCCAAACGGCATTCCACCTGGCCGTCAAGAGCGGGAATGTGTCGCTCATCCAGATGATGCTCGATCAATTTACACACGTCGCGCCGACCGCCGAGCTGCTCAAGATCGAAGACGACAAGGGCAACACAGCGCTTCACTTTGCCGCGACGAAAACGCCCCACGTTGTGCATTTGCTGTTGGAAGCTGGTGCTCCCGCCACGACGCGCAACTCGCGTGGGTTGACGCCGCTCATTATTGCCGTCATGACCAACAAGAAGGACGACATTATCATTGTCAACATGCTGCTCAAGTTTGGCGCCAACCCGAACGACGTGCACGACGCCACGACGATTATTCACACGGCTGTCAACCTCAAGTACGTCTTGCCATGATGGCCGTGGCGCCATGTGATGCATTTGTTGGACGAGCATGCTGATGCGGGCAATTTGTAGGCTGCTCAAGGTGGCGGGCGCCCTCGTTCGCGCTGGTGCCAAGCTCGACGTGGAGGACTCGGACGGGAAGACTGTGTTTGAAAAGATGAACCGGGCGTCGCTCAAGTACCTCTTGTCGCACATTTACTTTCCACCCACGTTCATTTCGGAGAAGGAACGGAGCGAGTGCATGCTGTGCAACAAAAAGTTTGGATTTGGTCGGCGCAAGTACCATTGCACGCACTGCGGTCGGCTGTGCTGCGCCGACGACGCGTCCGTCTTTATTCCGTTTGTCCAGTTCCCACAGGGCTTCCCCGGTCGCATTCACAAGGGCGCGGGTGTCCTCGACGAGAAGCGTTGTTGCAAGACGTGCTACAACATTCTCAAGGACCGCGCCGCCGCGGCCGCCGCGCCCAAGCCAGAGAAGGGTTTTATCGCGCGCGTGATTGGCATCGAGTGGGACGAAGTGAACCCAGACAAGCTCCAGCCGATCCAGTCGGCAGGTCGACGAAGAGGATAGCAAGTCCGTCTCGATTGCTCTTGCAAACCGTTCGACACAAATCTCGGCATGGCTCGCAGGATGGTGACAAATCGACGGCAAGATCCGTGAGCAATGTCATTGTAACGTTGTGCATGTCCCATCCATCGTCGAGTAATGTGTGCTTCCCTGTTGCTTGTGCTGCCTCTCCCGTGGCACGGAGTTGCAGCCGCCGGTTCTTGCCGTCTCCACCAGCGGGTACGACGTCGCGACCGAGAGACCCCCGCGAGATTGTCACGGACGGGCCGACGCCCGTCGGCGAGAGCTCCTGTCGTCGGTCATGCTGGTGGCGTGCCCTCGGCCGATCGTGCGCGCTCCGTCAAGAGGCTACCAACGGACCACCGCACGCCAGAGTCGAAGGAGGTGGGTATGGTTGTCGGCATGGGGGTGAGACGTGTGTCGTTGGCGCATGCAGAAGCCTCGCGCTCGGCTACGCTGTTTGCATGCGGGCGGTCCCATTCACATTTCGTACACTGGTTAATTTATATGGAGGTAGTCGAGGGTGGGGCGGCTTTAGCACGTGATGCCGCCGCGGTGTATCGCTGGGCTCCCGTTCGCACAGCAGCCGGGACCGCCGGCAATCGGGAGGCACGATGTCCCAGGATAAATCGACATGACGTTGGTGACGACGCCCCAGAGAAGAGCAAACGCGCCGACGAGAAACGTCACGAGCGCGAGTTGCGCGTTCGTGTTGCCTTTGAGTTTGAGCTCCTGCGCTTCTTTCTTTTGGCGCGGGAGCAAGATCAGCGTGACGATTGAAAACAGGCGCGCGCAGTAGCAGATCATGAGGCAGTACGCCACTTCCCATCGCACTTCGCGCGTGTCCTTGGCAATGTCGTCTTTGTACGCGAGGAAGCTCGCGTCGATCTGCTTGAACAGCGACGTCGAGATCGGACCTACGTCGACCGCACATCCTGTCAACGTTTCCAACAGACGCCGCCAAACTCACAACGCCACAACAAACCGACACCCCCACGGCCGACCACGTGCATCCAGTACCTGCGATCAAGTTCATGGTGGACACGAGCGCGTACGTGGACGCTTCAAATCGTTCGTCGGCGATTTCGACCGTCGCAAAGGTCACAACGAGGTTGCGAATGGCGAGCGGCACTTGGTACGTGAGCGGGACGCCGACGTAAAACTCGGGCGACCGCACCACATCAAACACCATGACGAAATCCACCGTCCATTGGATCGCGACGGTCGTGACGGTTGTAGCAAAGATGACCAGCCGCCAGTCCGAGTGCAAGAAATGGTTGCGCGTCACATGCATGGCCAGCGCAAACAAAAACACGGCAAAAATGTTGTTGAACACGCCTATGATTGACATGACCATGGCGACGGGATCGCGACCGTACCATCGACAATCGGCGGCACTTTGGCCCATGTCCGCTTGATCACGTCGGACGGCGCCGCGACCGCATCAAAGAAGAACGCGTTGAGAAAATTGAACGCCATGAGCTGCCACACGGCACGCTTCTTGGCGGCATTCCACAGCTCGATAAAGGTACTGTGGAGTGTCTGGCACGCTGGCCCGTCGTCGTCCAGGTTGATCGGGTCGTCCGGGATGAAGTACGACGTCGCGATCCCTACGACCTACGCGTCCATGAGCGCCACACGGCACACGAGTCGGCATCGCACCGGCGCCAGAGCGGCCACTATCATGACTTGGTTGAAGTTTAGCGACCAGTTGAACGTTCCGCCGTACTCGACGCCGTTGAACCCGACCGCGATGATGGCGGCGGCGACCCCGCCACTCACAAACTTGGCCAGCGTCACGATGGTCTGGGTCGTTCCGCGAATGCTCATCGGCTCCCGCTGCGCAAACTCGACCATGACGGCGTCCCCAGCCGAATCGGCCATGCAGAACCCTGCCGTCGCGCCCATCATGAGCAAAATGTATCCAAACCCGGTGTTCGGAGCGTTCGGGTTTACAACCTGCGACGGACGGCAGGGTCAGGACGATAACACGGTTGGTCAACAACATGGACGGATGCGCAACATACCGTGCGAAGCGATTCGTCGCCGCGGAACGTGTTCAGGTCCCCGTGCTTCCAGTACCCGTTTCCCTGCGGGATGAAGACACAAATGACGAGAAAGCAGAGGCAAATGGACCACCCGATGAGGAGGTATGGAATGCGCCGTCGACCCATAATGGGCACGCAGTCGGACAGAATCGCGAAGAACGTCTTGAGGATATATGGGAACGTGATGAGGACAAATGCCGCCTGGGTCTGGTACCCATCCATGTTGAGGTAGTTGGTCATGAACGGGTAGATGGTGGCGGGAAGGATCGCTTCGGCCCACCCCGTGCATATGTAGTTGAAGAGGAGACCAATGTTCTCGCGCGAGTAGATGTTGCGCACGCCGCCGTCTCGAATCGGGTCTTCGTTCAAGGTGTCGTAGAACGGCTGGTCGTCCACGTTCGGGTCGAGCTCTTCCGACGCCCACGAGTTCAGAGCCCGTCGCAATGCGACAGAGGATGGACTTGCGGTCTGCATGTTCGCGCTGCGTGTCGGCGGCGGCGCTCTCGTCCCGATCGACAGCTCCGCGGAGGCAAGTGTTCGCCCTGGCCCCAATGCAGTTGGTCCACTGTGCAATCGCGATGTGGAACGAAACTGAAACTCAAAACCCAATGCATGTCTCAATTCCGACGTCCCAGGATCTGCAGCGCATCCAGCCTGACGACGCCACCCGCCACAACCGCATCCCAACGCCTCCATCGTGCGCGCCTCGACGCCCTCGCAAGGCGCTCCTCGACCTGGCATCACGCAGCGCACGTGAGTTCCCCGACTCTCTCTCTGGAGGTTTGGGCGCTGCGACATGTTTTCCCAACCCACGGCAGAAGTTGAAGAAAGCACTTCTCCCTGCTGGCGGTGTATGTGCAAACCCGCACACCGCCGCCGATCGTCTTCATCGGCACGCCAGGGGTCATGGCGATAGACCGCAACATCCAAGTGCGTGGGGCTTGGGACGTCGAGCGGTAGCAGCACACCGCCACGCACTGCCAGTACAGTCGACGAATCTCTGTAATCAGGTCAGAGACTCAACCATACGGCAGCCCCCTGTCGGGCAAAGCTAGTCTGGACGTGTGGTGATATCGTCCGAAGGGCCTTCGAACGATCGCAATGCCTCGTGGGCTCGTCTGGGCGGCCGTCGTTTCGGTTTGTTTCCTCGCGCCTCTGGCATATCGGAACATTCCACAACATACAAAAACGAAATCCAATGAATCTGGCGATGTCAACGTGGGGGTGTCTCTGCTATGCCGGCCAGAGTCCGTCGGGCGCTAGCTTTTCTTGGATTGTGGCCCCGATTGCCGCCGACCGGTGGACTCGTGGCCGCCGATATGTTGCGCGCGACAAGTTGCTGGCATGTACGCCAAGGACTCGATGGTCCATCGTGTCAGCGATCTAATTATCTTGGATATTGTACAATAAATGCGATCCAGGTGAGAAGCTTCCCACCACCACTTGCCCCGCGCGGTGGTCGTGATGAGCAGGAGCGCCACCCTCTGTGCACTGGATGCCTGGATGCCGCAGGGGGAATGCGCGTCCCGGCGGAGCAACTCCGCAAAAGCCGGGGTGGGGCAAAACCACCACGTGGCATGCTGCTCTACTGTGAACGACAACCATGCCATGGGTCGGAGGTGAATCCGACAACGAGCTATGGAAAGAGCTTGTCCCATGCGGAGCGAGAGCATCGCATGACGTGGCCGACGGCGCATTGCTTCTCCCAAGGGGCCACACCGACGCCAGGACATTTCACCCGAGGGGATGTGATGTTAGTTACCACTGAACGGAACACAGCGTGCATCACGTAACTGTTTTGGGAGTTGCGTGGATGCAGCCATGGCGATGCCGCCGGTGCGAGGACGCCGACAGGTTGTCCAGTTGAGCCAGGAGGAATATATCAAGGCCCTGGACGACCAAAGGCGGCAGGTAGGTGCGGTCGACATCGACTGCGATGGCTAACGCATCGACGCATATTCGATGTGTCAGAAACCTACCAAGAGCGCCATGCGAACGCACAACCCGACGGGCTCTCCAACCGACGGCACGCCAAAGGACAACGAGGTGCTAGCCCCGCCGGTGGCACCGACGGGACGGCGGCGGGTAACCCAGCAAATGTCGCAGGAAGAGTACACCAAGTCGCTGGAGGAACAGATTCGATGGAAACAGGTTTTGTGAGGACGGGTCACGATGGGCAAATGAACAAGCTACCAGTAGATGCGAACTGAAGCGGAAACGCTGGATAGAAGGAAAACATCTTCCGCGACAGACACCCCACTGAGCGACGCGACAAGGACGGGGGCGGGCAGCTTGCCGCTAGTGGCCGACGCCGGTGCTGGCCATCGCGGTGGCCGTCGACGCGCTCACCAAGTGTCCCACGACGAGTGGCTGCGATCGATTCAGTCCCAGCTAGGCAGCAAACAGCACGCTATGCAGGTATGTTATACGAATACTTTGGTCGGTCGTCCATTCTCACATGTCGGCGCAGCCAAGCACTGCTCAGGATGGCAAGCCGGCCAAGCTATCCCGCGAAGATTGGATCAAGAAGCTCGAGGCCGAAATCGACAGCCCGCAACGTGTTGTTCCGCAGCAGCCGCCACCACCACAAGTGCCAACAGCCCCTCTATCATATCAGGGTCACCTTGCAACACATGACGGTCCCGCGGTCGATGATGACGTGGCCGCCATGCCAGCACCAGATCTGACGGATCCGTCCGAGGTCGCCGAAGTACCAGAGGCCCTCGACGATGCCCCTCCGTCACGACCGACGTCGTCCGAGTCCCCTGTCCGTTCCACCGACAATGTAGCAATGGCAGCCATGAAGCCATCCAAGAAGAAGGCGGATGCAAAAGGCACACGGAACAAGAAGCAGCGCCAACTCGCCGATGGAAAGCGCTCGCGTGCACGTGGGTCCGTCGCGACAAAGACCACCGAACGGCCGTCTCCTACTCTTGCGCCCCGCGACACGTCGTCCGACCATCGATCATCGCGCTCGAGTCGCAACCAAATCGCGTCGCCACGGCGCCAAGCGGACCCACGAACAAAACCAAACGAAGACCTGGCGGACATTGTGCACGCGTACAAAGCCATCAAACAACAGAACGAAGAGATGAAGCGGCAGTTGGCCGAGCAGAGTCACGTGCTTCAACTCATTCGCGAGCGCGTGCTGGACAAACCGCCCGTCGCCGCGATCGCACATCAAGAGCCACGTACTCTCGCATCCGTCGCCACGACAACATCTTCCCGTGAGAAGGAAGATGGAAGCTCACCGCTTCGACTTTCCAAACCGCGACGAGTGAGTAAACTCGTTCCGCCGGGTCAAATTGCAAAGACAGTGGCAATGGCGTCACCACACCACTCTTATCGAACACCACACACGTCAACCACGAGCAATGCGATCCGAGAGGTTGAGCTGCCTCCGCTGTCGATCGAGCGACCACATGCCCGACGCAACGACATGCCATCCCGTCCGCCCCAGGAACCGCCGCCGACTCCACCGAAACACCTCCCAAACGGTATCCGTTCCAGCTGCGCGGATGACGTGGCAGAGCAGCCACCCACGGTCATCGCCCAGCCAGGCAAGGATGTCCACCTGTCCAAACCAGTCAGGGCAGCAGCGATGTGGCAGGAATGCGATGAACTGGGCCAAGGAGGGTCGATGTTCTTTCCAGCGCTTGTGTCGTCTACACGGGCACATGCATGCAAAGAAACGGTGGACGAGCAAGAGCTGCAGGCCGACTCGGTGGAAGTGCTCGTGGAGTCGAGCACGATGGTGCCTATGCCTCGCCATTTTTCCCTTGTCCAAGGACGATAACTTAACGAAGACCAGTTGATTGGCTTCGACTACTTGCTTCGATGGCCTTTAGTTTGCGCTCTTTCCTTTGCTTGAACGTTTCGCCCTTTCGCTTGCGCACGCGTGTCCTCGGCGCAGTCGGGGCAGATGCCGGTGGGGGCACCGCATCATCGCCCTTGGATAGCTGACACTTGATAGTTTGGCCCAATATGCACGGGTTCTTCATAGCTACGACTGCATTTACCGCGCGTTGGGCTGCGTCCGCCTTGGAGTATGTGACAAAGGCAAATCCGGGAGGCTTGCGAGCGATCCAAATGTGTCGAATCACACCGTACGGTCGAAAGAAGGCTTGCAGATCGGTCTCGTTTGCCTGCGACGTCAAGCGACCCACGTACACACGGCAGTCGGAGTCATTTTCTTGTTCCTCGATGGAAACCTCCGCCGGTGCGGCCGCGGCGACAATGTCGGCCGACGCTGCCATGCCCAAAAAGCAATTTATCCGGGGGGATGAATTATCCGGAAGAATGACGTGTTGGAACAATTCTTGAGCAGAGAAAGATGGCCGACGTTGCAACGAGCCTGCGCCGCCGCGGCGGACGTGGTGACGAAGGCAGTACATTCGGCGCGACGCAAACTGAATCGAGTCGGTTCCCTGCGTCTTCGGACTCCACCAACGACGCCGCGTCGTCGTCGACCTCGTTGTGGCAATGGATCTTTGGGCCGCCGACCCCGGACACCCCAGAGGTAGAAATCATCACCGCATTGCTTCAAATCTGACGTCTTGATCTTGCAGTCCATGGCTGCTTCCCTGCAGAGCAGTCTTCGTCGAGAATACGGCGACCATTGCCCGGATTTTGTCCAGTTGTCGTTCCGTGATACTACCAACTTGGCCAAGGCTGACGGCAAGTTCCTCCTGGTCTACCTGCACTCGGAAGTTCACCAAGACACGCCGTCGTTTTGCAAGTGCGTTGATCGCTCCATCTCGACACCGTTCTCTTACACGATCTTGTTCAGGAACGCGTTGTGCACGGACGACATGCAGGCATTTGTCGCTGGTCATGACAACGTCCTCTTCTGGGCCGGCTCCGTTCTCCAACCAGAGGGATATAGTGTCTCACTGTCTCTCGGTGCAGCTTCCTTTCCCTTTCTGTGCTTGGTGCTGTCCACGCCCCGCGGCATCAATATCGTTGACAAAGTCCAAGGTGCGGTGGTTGCAATTCCCCCTTGGTGGCTGAACTGGTGCATGCAGGGAACATCCCAAAGACAGCGCTTGTGTCCCGCCTTACAGCTGCCGTCCAGCGCAATCAGCAGCAGCTCGCCACTGCCCGTGCCCAGGAACTCTTCCGGTAGCTGTACTGCTCTCCGATGCGAATGCATCTGCTTGACCCCTCTAAAATAATCTCACGAAGGACGGAAGCGCAGCTGTTGCGCGAGCAGCAAGACCTAGAATACCAGCAATCGCTTGAGGCCGATCGGCGCAAGGTGCTGTATTGACCACTCAGCTGGTAGATTGCAATGACTGGACGAAGTTGTGCAGGCGGAAGAAGAGGCGCTGCGCAAGGCGAAAGAGGAAGAGGAAGCAAGGGAAGAGTCTCTACGCTTGCATGCGCAAGCAGAGGCCGCGCGGACTGCGGCGGCCGAACGCGAAGCCGCGGTCGAGCTCAAACGCAGCCGCCTGACCAACGGTCCAGCGACCAAAGGCAAAGACACGGCGTTCATAAGGCTGCAGCTGCATAACGGGACGAAGTTGGAGCGGTTGTTCTGGGCCACCGACACATTTCAAGTAGGTCTATCGTTTGTGAACGAGACCGATGCCATGACGTCGGGATGGTGTTGCGGCAGACGGTGCGCGATTTCGTCGACGTGGCGTTTTTCGAGCGAGAGATTGCGATCGTACGCTACGAACTCGCGACGAACTTTCCGCGAAAGAGCTGGGACGCGGACCACAGCCACGTGACGCTGCAAGACGCCGTACGTACCTCGAACATCCTGGGACTTGGATGGGTCATGTGGATTGTGTGGACACCAGGGCTTAGCGCCGCAAGCACTGCTGTATGTGCAGGATTTGGACTCGTAATATACTGGTTCAATTGTCACGGTTAAATCGACGTGCGGTTGCCAGACGATGCGCGGAATAATCTGGAGAGCACGTGAGTGGTCATGAGGGTTCGTTGCTGGATAGAGAGATCGGGTACCTGTCGTGGAGGGCGGCGGCGTGTTCGTGGGCCACAGCCGACACGTCCGGGATCAAAATGCGCTAGAGCAGACAAATTGTCAGATAGCATCCTCCTCCATGATCGTACTGTCGCGTTCGGCACTTGCTCGGCCCACCGCAGCGCGTCGAACACGTTGCGCGCAGCTTCGGTAATGTCACCACTAATCACCAGCGCACGTATTTGAATCAGACCGATGGAATCACGAGCGTACGGTGGGGAAAGGTCCAGGTAGGCCGCCACGACGGGCTGCAGCGCCTGCAGCTGGCCATGGAAATCGACAACGACCCACGTGCGGACGTCGGCGTCGGCAGGCGCAGCGACCGGAGTTGTGTCGACCATGAACGTGGGGACGTCGGGCGCGTAGTGCGTGAGCAGTTGGCCTGGAGCGACCTGATTCTGGGTCGAGTGGTCAGCTACCACGCGTTGCGCGTACACAATGTCGACATGGAGGCGCTGTTGGACGTTGAGGACGTCGTGGAGCGCCGCCTCGGACACGCCGCCACGCCGGAACACAAGAAGCTGGTTTTGATCCGGCACAAGTTTCGCGACCGTCGATTCAATGCCCACTTGGCAGCACGGATGGCCGACGTTGTCGATGACCTCCAGCCCGCCAGAGTATGTTCCGAGGTCGTTGACGACGTGCTGAGCGGTTGTGGGACTGACGTGACCAAAGCGGTTCGCGCTCGGTGCAGCGACGGGCACTTTTGCTTCACGCAGCAAAGCCTGGGCAATGGAATGGTTCGGGATGCGCAGCCCGACAAAACCAGTGTTGGCCGACACCTCACGAGGCAAGGCAGGAATCGCCGGCGCGATCAGTGTGAGTGGGCCGGGCCAAAAGGCCGTCGCAAGGGTCTTGAACATTGCCGTGCCTTTGTCATCTAGCTCGACAAGCGCAAGTGCGTCGTCGACCGTTGGGATGTGCACAATGAGTGGGTCTGTCAGCGGCCGACCTTTGGCTTCGAAGATGCTGAGCAGCGCCTTGGCGTCAAACGCATTCGCGCCCAAACCGTACACAGTCTCGGTTGGAAACGCGACGAGGCGGCCCTGGCGCAATGATTCACCTGCACGGGCAAGTCCTTGCGGAGTCGCAGCGAGCAGCATCTTGGTCAGTTGGCGGACTATCGTGATGGACGCGACGGCGGTCTCGGGAGATGTAGTTGAACTGCGGGGTTTCATTGGTGGAGGGCGACAGATGTCGACCAATCACAGAGTTTCCTGTGCGACCAACACTCTCCGACAGAACTCGACTCGAAGCAAACGGACGCCGGAGGACGTGACGATGGCAGCCGCCCTGCAGCAGAGTGAGCACCAACTCACACAGAAGCTAACGCAATGGAGGTGTACGAAGAAGAATGAGGCACGTGCACAAGGTGACGGTGGCTGCGGGTTTTTGAGGAGAATTGCAACGTCTGGAACGGAAGGTCGGACGTGCAAGTGGTGGCGACGACGTTGTCCTGGCCGAGGGGTCGACTTCCGCCTCTAGAGACAACCGAATGCGGCTACATGACATGGATTTCTGAAGCACTTGGATGTGGAGAGTGCCTGGTAGCATCGCAGTCCAAAGCGCGATTTCAACGTCGGGCTACATGGAGACAACCGTCGTGAAACCGGTCAACGATTCGACATGCGCCACCAAGATGGCAGTATATCTGTGATATGGCTCCATTGTAACATCGACCCCGCCCAAGGACATCGCCGCCGTTTGCGACTACAGCCACCAGGTCCGTCGTCAACGTGCCCTCGGCCAAAGACGTATTTGGCGCAGCAAACATTGAGAAGGCGCTCGATGTGCATGTGTCGACGGAGGCGCAGACTACTTTGTGCGAAGGAACTGTGCCACCCGCTCGTACGCCGTGTATAGCGATGCCAACTGCGTTGCCCCTGAGCCATTGGTCTTCCACAGGACGCGTAGATCGTGCTTGACACCGAACCCCAGAGGCAGCACTCGTACACCGCGCCCTGCAACCTCCTCTACGGCTTCATTTTCCAGTCGGAGCAGCCAAATTGCGCCGGTTTAGTCCAGTCCATGGGCCCAGATCTGTATTAATTACGTTTCAATGCATAAACCTCCCCATGTCGGCAAGGATTGCAGCGCTCATGAACGCGACGATGCCCTCAATGCCCAACACCAGGTGAATTACGCCCGTGCCGACGGAACTGCCCAGTACCATGGTATTCTTCTCGGACGCCGCGTGCTCCTAACTGCACGTCGTGGCTCCAGCGACAAGTTTCGACGCCGTCCAATACTTTTTCAGTCGATTCGGTGTCCTGCAGTCGCCACCAACACCAGATCTAGCCCATTGCTACGCCCTGCACCGAAACGGACTTGCTTTTTATGAACCCACGTGCTGGAAAAGGCATCGTGCATCCTGTGGAGTGCACGATGACCATAGCAATGCACGGCGACCGCTTCTGGATCAATGCTAGAACGGTCACCTCTTTTTCTGCCTCACCTCCGGACCGCGGTCGCTTTACCGCGGACAAAGTGAATATGAGCAACACGCTACCTGGTCCAGCGGCCACTGTCCTCTACAGACAGTGCGCCTCCATCCTCGATGAATTCATCTACAACAACTGCGCAAAGCTTGGCGTGCTCCTGTTCCGCGATGCAGCGTGCTCCGTCCTGCAGTCCTGGTTGTCACTGTGTACAAGTCGTGTTTTGTCACAAATGTGGACCCATTGACCTGCTACCTCGAGATCGGAGGGGTTCGCCATGGTGGCGACGGCGACAAGCATCGCCGTTCAGCGATCACCAGAGGCGAGCAGTCCGACTTGCCAAGAAAGGCTGTAACACACCTGACGCCACCGACTTGGCGGTGTCCTCCATGACATCCGTGTTGCATCAACAAAGTCTAATCCATGAGCTGAATTTGTTCAAAGCACTCTGGTCACACCAAAGCTTGGACGTACTATTCATGTGCTGGCTCCAAGCGGAAGGCTGTGGCTCTCAGCACTAGCCACCACGCACGTGCATTCTGTATGTATTAAGACCCCGAGCACATCAAGTTGGTGAATCACGTGGTAATCCTTTGGTTCCCCAAACGTCGTGTGTTGGTTGAATGCAATGTCGGCGCCGCTTCACATAAGATCCATTCGGTAACTGCCACGACCGTTGACGGTTTCGCGATCCAGCATGCCGTATCAAGCATGGCGTCGACAATGCAGCGTTGCCAGTCAGTCCGTGGGCCATCATTCGCAAGATGTCGGCCAAGTACATCGTGTCCTACGAGCACGTCGACTGCAGCGGCGGCGCGCAGTACGTGAGGTCGAGTGCCAATTCGTCGGCTCCGTTCTCCGGGTGCGTCGGTGGCGTCCAGGTCACGACGACGCCAGTGCCAACGACCAACTTTATTCCCAACGAATTGTACATGGATCTGCAGTGGGATTCTGGTATGACCGAGCGCATCATTCAGCACACGTGCGTGTGGACAGGTGTTGACCGGGGATACATGCGGGCGGACTGCCCAGAACGCGTGTTTGGCTTTTACAAAGACGGAAATTGCAACGTGCCGATGGACACGAACGATGACGTGTCGCCGCCCGCCACGTCCTGCGTAATACCGAACGCCTACTCAGCCACGGCCAAGTCGAAAGTTCCCCCCAAGTACTTCAAAAAGTATGAACACGAAGACTGCACGGGGGCTATCGTGTTCACGGACGAGTTCACGGGGGCGCTCGCAGCTGCCCAAGACGTCGATCCGTGTACAAATGGGTTCCAGATCGACCTCGTACCTCCCAAACCGGACCAATTTGTCGGCGGAAAGACGTACATGACAGTGACCAACCCGTACATGCTGTTCAAAGGGACTGTGCTCGACAAGAGCTGCGTGTCGTACGCGCCAGACAAGTTTGTCCGGGTGGACTGTGCTACACGGACCTCCGTCTTTTTCAACGACGACTCGTGCTCATCGGGCGACCAGGAAGTGCTGTACCCGTCAAAAGTGTGGGGCATCCATTGCAACGTCCTGAACCGGCCCCCGGGGTGGGGATGGGGGCACGGGTTTTCCGGCACCCTCGTTGGCCTGGTCCTGATTTCCCTCGCTGTTGGTGGCATCTTTGCCGTGCTCTACCGCCGCAACCGCAAGTCTCACGTGAACATTCCCCTGAAAAACCCGTCGTCATCGTCGCAGCCGTCGTACCATACGTCAGGCAGAAACGTGGTCAACTAGATAGCATCTAGAATGAATCATCCGTTCATCCCAGCTTCACACTGGTCTTCCATGGTTTCTATGAGCCAAAGTCGAGGAGCACCCTCCACGAAGCCCCGCGCCGAATGTTCTGCATGCCAGGGCACAGAGATGGAACGACCGATGGGAGCAGTGTGCACTCCAACCGTTGGTCCATCTTGCTCGAGAACGTGGGCGGTTCTGCTTTGCAGACAAAGTTGCAGCAACGGACTGTACATCTTATGCCAACGCTGTCTTATCTGGGTTCGTGAGCCCAACGCCCCAACTTCCGACATGAACACTTGTTTGGCCGTAAGGAAGGCAGGACAAATCACGCAGACGGGAGATCGGAAATTGCGATTTTGCCGGACCGCCCCTTGGGAATGGAGCCACGATTCTTGAATGTGTACGCCCATCCCGACTGTTCTGGTGGACTGGTTCACGTTCGATCGGGACCGAGTGCCAACTACGAGCCTCTCCGATCCTGCCATGTCGGTGTCGAGACGGCCACGCACACCGGCCTGTACCTCGAAGGTCGGCAGTACATGCAAATTCGCCGCGAGTTTGCCACCGATGTGGTGCTTGACGCGACGTGTGTGCACACCGGCCTTGCCGTGGACCTCTTCGCGTTTGTGAACTGCTCCACGATGGCATACGCCATGTTTACCGACGCGAATTGCTCCCACAACGTCCCCGTCGTGGAGATTGCACACCCCCACGTCGAGTGTTTTGTTCCGAATGACGCGGCCGTCCCATCCATGCCGCACCCGCCACCCTTGCTCAAGTACATAAAGGGATATGCCAACCCAGACTGCTCGGGGCCACTCACGTATATGGCAACGCTGCAAGGTGTGGTGGCCATCGCGCATGACACTCAATCGTGTATCGATGGTATTGAGCTGAATCGTATTCCACCGAGATCGAAGGACTTCGCACTCAGCGCTGCCTACATGAACATAGATAACGGAGTTGACGCGAACAGCCTTGCTCTCGACCGAGCATGTGTGCAATTCGCCCCGCGGAAGTTCCTCGTCGTCGACTGTCAAGCCCAAGCGATTACGTACTACAGCGATCCGTTGTGTCGTGTTGTCGATGCACACGGCGCACACGTTGTCCTGGCACCACGGCCATCCAAATTGCCATTGAATTGCTCAGTTCCATCGGGGGATGGCGAGATGCTCGGTGTCCAGGGAGACTTCTGGGCAAAAGAGTCCGTAGTCCTCGTCGCAGTGCTCGCGATTGCGTTCGTGGGAGCAATATGGCGTGCCGTCGTGTGGCGCAGTCGCCGGCGGCAAAGTCATGTTCGCTTGTTGAAGTAGATAGCGATCCGGATAAGTGATGCGAATTATCCGAATGTCATGTGCTAGTGAAATGAATCCTGTCGACAAGCATTCCATGAAGCGAGCAAATTCGCCGCCGCTGCCGCCTCCAGGCAGCGACCCGAAGCGACCAAAGGCGTACTCCTGCGACGAAGGCAAAGATGACATGAAGGATCTGTCTAGTTTGTCCTTGGACGACGCCTACGGCGATTGCGAAGACTATGGATACGTTGATCATGACTTGATGCTCGCTCAGCAGTATAAACCAATGATGCATTCTCCAGAAGAAGGCTGGCCGGACGATCGCGACGACAATGACCCTCCCAATGACGACGATGCCTTGATAGTGGGGCCAGACTACATGACTGACGCCACTCTGTCGTACTCTGCAGTGTCTGCTTCCATCGGTCGAAGCTCCCAAGACATGGGTACAGCGTCTCTATCCACTGCATGTACTTTATTTGATGCGTCGAGCTGTAGGATGGCGATTAAGTAGCGCAGGTGCCCTCAGCAATCTCTCGAACAGACGTTTGAGCGTTGGTCCCGTGCATATATCTGCGTCGATCAGTCCAGACTACACGGAGAACACAATGGTGGACTTTTCCACGCACTGCTCGGACGCAGATGCCGACACGATTCTGGACGTGGACTTATCGACCGAGCTTTCTCCCGAGGCCGAAGCCAGCTTCCATAACGTCGTGTACTACCTGCAATTGCATCCCAAACTAGTCAACCAACTCTCACGCCGGCAGCTCAACGCGTTCCGTGCTGCGGGGTTACTCCAGATCGAGATGAGTGCGCAACGCCGCTCCATGACGATCACGAGAGAGATGCTGACGACCGGTCCCATGAAGCACATGTTCCCACATTACAAGGCGTTCTTCAGTGCCAACCATGTCACGTTTCGGTGGCAGGTGACGGCCAGCGGTGTGGACTTAACCATGACCAACACAAGTCTCCACCCCATCTTTGTTGGACTGCGGTCGCTTGGTACGTGACTGCTCGATGTGGCGTCCAATTTTATTGAACTGGCTGACCCGTTGCGGTCTAGCCTCCCAGGCAACGCAAGCACTCGCCATCCAAGACGAGATCCGCCTGCTCGTATCTCCTGCAAAGTACCTTATACTAGGGTACGTCGTGACCAACTACGCGATCCCGCCGCCGCCGCATCCACCCTGCCACAACGTCCTGGTAAGACCTCGATCGTCGTGGCAAACGCAGGGGCGCCGCGATTATCAACACTGGAACGCACGATGCCTACGTTTTTGCTGGGCGAAACAAGTGTCACGGGCAGGACGTAGGGCGTCCTGTTTGCGCACCCGATCCTCGACTACAACAGCCTGGGCCTCTCCCTCAATGTACCTTCGATCGCGTCCATCCATCCATTGCCCTCAGGATGGAGTGGCTAGAACCGAGAAGTCCACACCATGCACACTTCCATGAGCACCCGGCTGGTCAAGTACCGGCAAATCGTACGAGTGTTTTCAACGGCATGTCGGTGTTTCTGAAGCGGGTGTGCATCTAGTCGGAACTGCGCGCGAACGAGACCGGGCTCCCTGTGACGTTCATGCCGCAGCCAGTGGACCTCGCCGTCGAATTCGCGTCATGGGACGTTCTTCAGGAACTCGTGGCCGACGGATGCCAGCTGCTGCACTTGGCCTGTGCGGCTACCGCAACGACGCTCATTCTAGAAGACGGTCGAGGGGGCGCATTCCCCGTCGACTTGGACAAACTCAAGCGGCTCTTTCAAGGGTCGGCCGTCCAAGTCGTCCAGTTGTCCGTGTATCAGCACAACGGCCGCCCCACACGTACACCATCCATCTCATACGGGATTGATCGAGTGGCTGTGGATAGCCCATCAGCTCCTCTTGGACGCCGGAGTGCCGTATGTTGTCGCGATCGCGCCAGGAACGCGGATGGTGGCGTCGTCACAGCTCCTGTGCTTCTCCACGTAAGGTCATCTCGATCTCGTCCGTAGCTCTGGTTCCGCTTTGCTGCCAACTCTGGCCAGAATGTGCCACAACCGCACACCGCTGATGGTTTGCCATGTTACTGCAGCCATTTTTACCGCGCGCTGATCAACGGCAAGTCGATCGAGACGAGTTTCAACTTGGCTCAGTGCAGCACACGTCTACCGATGGACACGGTAGTCGTCCATTTTTCATATCCTCGATGCATGACGATGGCCTCTTAGTTTCGGCTGTACCCAAAGTCCAGCGCCCACCTCGGTGCGGAAGTGCTGTATCCGTTCACAGACAACCCAGTAGCGTCGCCGACGTTCCGATCCTCGCTGCGCAAAGACAGCTTGTCCATGGCCGTGTGTAAGGTATCGGTCGACTCCATGGGCGAGCACTGCCCTAACAAGTCGGCCAACACAGGAGTTTACGCACCGGCTATACGAAGCCCATGATGTGAGCTGGCGATGCCTCGATGGAGCGCGTACAATAATTCGCGCAATGCCGTGTAGATTTGCTACCGCTTGATGGACCCCGATCACAAGACCCGCGTTATTAACATCCATGGCCCTCCAGCCATCGGTGTGACCTGGACTATGCAGTGCTGTTGACGGCGAGTGCATTTGATGCTTCAATCTAGGCAAAACGCAGCTGGCGCTAGCGGTGACACAATATGTGAGCTTTCGAGCGGTGTTTGACGGAGGAATCCAAGTGCTCCATGTGGAAGCGACCATCGAGCGGAAGGGCTTCGACCATGCTGTCGTGTGGTTGCATCGGGCCTTCATGGACATCAAAAGCAAAAGGTAGAGTGTGCCTTTTCCCCATTGCATTCACAGGATCGAATACTTGTGCGGTCGTAGCGGCCGTGCAAAGTCGTTCCTTGTTGTCCTCGACGGCCTCGAAGGGTTCCTCCACACACCGTACCATACCGTCGTCGTGCTAGACTTCCTCCCGGCCATCCTGAAGGAAATGCCGAACGTGACGGTCATCATGACGTCGCTGCAGCCCATTGCGTTCCCACAGCCGTCGATCTTGCAATTCCACGTCGCCCTCGACACAAATCCCGGCGGGTTCGTCGCCTTGCAATTCCATGCCCTATCGTCAGACTCATCCTGGGACAACACCACGCGTCTACCAAACGAGAACTACGACATGCCGCATGTACCCTCCAGTCCGACCTATTCCCCTGTCGCCGCCGCCGCCCCTGCCAATTGCAGTGTCATGTGACGGGAAATGAAACTACCATTTACCATCATTCTAGTGTTTTCAGCACGGTGATTGGATATAAAAACGGGCATTAAATAGATGAATAATATCTTCCATACAAGCGCAAGTACAGGCGGAAAACGAATCGGGCGCAAAACCGATCCAATGGAACCCTGGCCGCTTCCCATGGCGGCAACTAGGCAAGACGGGTTACCACCGCGTGAATACACGGCGCACCAGGACGCGGAAGGAGGAAGGGGTTTTCATCTGCTCTCTGTGACTGGTTGTTCTGTCATGCAAGGAGCCCCTGTCGCTGAAGCAAGAGTGCTGGAAGGGACGATTTACGGCGGCTGTGGCTAGCGGAGATGCCATCTTGACCGACGAATGCTGGACCAGGAACTGTCGTTCCCTCTTCGCAAGGCACAACACGCACACAATAACCTTAGTAGGGTCGGCTGTGGGACCCACTGCGACTTTCTTCGTCGCGCAGTGTTTGCACACAACATCTCCGCACTGCGGATTGCATCACGCGAGTTAAATGTCATGCGGTATCGGGAATCGATGTGCGTACCGTGCGGCAGTGATGTCGGTGTCGGAAGAAGGAAAATCTCTCGCTGCACATGGCACACGACTCGCGGGCATCATTTGGAACCCAGTTCTCACGCGGCGTGATCTCATCGGGGCGGACGAAATCGAGGACGTGCCGGAACATGGTTGCAAAATGCCAAATGGTGTGGCGACGGACGGCATGGTTGAGTCAGTGCATTGCTGGAGTGCAGCACCATTGCTGTCCCATGTGCTTCAGCCAATGGTATCCTGCAAGGCTCCACCTTCCAAGCAGCATCCACGACGGGTGTCTGGCCTTCTCGTGGTGCCAGAAGGAAGCTGCGGCGACCGGGAACTTTTTCGAGCGAACCAAGAGGTGTATATACTGAAATAGAGTGATTATTTTGAATGTGTATATTTCGACGATATCGACCGACTCGTGAGAACGGAAAGCCGGTGCGACCTGGTCGCCGCTGTGGTCTGCATGCGCTGGCCATGTCGACTTTCCATCGTTCGACGGCTGGCTTTAAGTAAGACTTCTTGAGGTAGGTACGCTAGGTGCAGTGTTGTGTGCTCATTCAAATTTGGCGCATGTCTGCGACAAGGTGTGGGTGGGGCAACCGACGCGCACATCGTGGTACAGTGCCTCGAATTTACGAAATTTGCAATAATTCTCGGACGATCCGTTGGTTCTCGGTCGCGTTTCCACGAAAGACCACCGTGTAAAGGTGCTGAATGCCCGCCAGGCGTCGTCGGAACGCCAACGACCGCTTCCAGTGCAATCACCGACTCAGTTGTCTTGCGCTTCCCTTTTCGCGTTGACTCTGGCGATCCCATGGTAGTGAAAAAGCGCTTCAGTCGATTCCACACGTCCCTACGTGGGTTTCCCGACTTTGGTCAAAATATTGCCAATTTCCATCCAAAATCAGATATTTTTGCGATGGGCATTCCCCGGATAATCAACCGGTCGATTCCCTTCTTCCGGTGGCAAGATGCTGAGCGGTGACATGTTCCATGCGCCTTCTTCACGAGCAGCTGCGTGGGTTGGTCGGCGCCGCCGTAGTTTCCCGTGCTTGTCGTGGGGACGCTCCATAGCACACAAACGACTATCGATGAGTCAGTCTAGCTATACACATGAGCGCCGGCCACTTTCCCCGCCTCCTTCCCCTACGGCTACCCGCGGACGTGGGTCCTCTTCGTGCGATGGCTCGACGTGGCGGACTGCACACCGCCGGCGTGCTATCTGCGTGACCTGGATTCATGCCCCGTGTCACACGGCGCCACCGGAGCCCCGTGATTCCAATCCCAATGTCGTCGCCCACGCTCCCAAGCCGAATGAGAAGGGCTTCAACGAATTCTGTTGAACCTGGTCAATTGTCTACGCACGAAATTTCCTTAACATGGTCTGGTGGGGCATTGCGATTCGACGTGTCCATGGACGTCGACGAACGCGCACGAGGAAGCAAGATGTGTCGGTTAAAGTTAGTGCTATGCAGTCTGGGCAATGCTCGTGGGCGAACATAACCCCGTTCGTCGTAACTGCGCCAGGTTCGCATGCATCTCGAACGGGTGGTTTGTCGGCAGCGGGTTCGCCGGCACCCACGCTGCCCAGTCCTTGGCCGGCCGAATCTTCGCTAGTCGAACAAATTCGGGGTCGATCGCGCCTGATGCAAGTCGCTTGCACTGGACCGACAGACACGGAGACAGCTCCAGTGCACGGATCAGGCTGGGCAAGTCGACCTCGATCTTCTGCAACTGTGTGATTGCCTTCACCCGGTTAAAGTTGAGCACGACGTTCACGTAGACAAATCCATGGACGTCCATGCGCTGCCGCAGAAACAGGTCACGCTGCAGGTTGGTCTCGCTGAAGTAAAACTCACTACGCAGGTAACACACATGAGGCACGGCGTTGCATGAGAGGAAGCAACGGCTCGTACATTTGCTGTACAATCTGTGCCAATGCGACCGGAGCGACTTCGATGGGAGTCGCAGGAAGCGGTGGGGGTGGGCCCTTCGGCAATGGAGGGTACACCATGGTGCCCAGCGATGTTGTCTTGGTTAGCACAGGCGGTGACGTTGGGGACGGAGAGAGCGGACCTAAGACGTCGCGCCAACTTCGACCATCGGCGATTGACGAGCGAGATCGAGACAGCACCGGCTTCGTGGTCGCATGATCAACATTCGAGAGACACGGCGCGTCGACGAACGTGTTGATCGACAATGTAGGGATCGAGGAGATTGGTTTCAACGACTGGATAGGGAACGAAGAAGACGACGATTTCACGGGCGACAACGAGCGGCGCGCCTTCGACGACGACGAGCTGGAAGTGGACGCTGTGGACCCAGGCGATGATTTCGTCGGAAGGCGCACGACATCCATCCAGTTAATCTCGGAGACGTCTTTTGCCGGGGAGAAAGGCGAGTTGAACTTCTTATTGCTAGCGGACTTTTTCGGCTTGGTCACGACGTCAGGGACTTCAACGATTTCGGTCACAGGGACGGCATCCGTCAGAACAATCAGGTCGACGTCATCCAAGATCATCGCAGCAGGCGGTACGACAGGGTTGTCCAAGGCGTCTGAAAGTCTCTCTGTTTCAACGCGCTCAGGTTGTGTCGGGGTCGCGGTGCGGATTCCTGGACTGCGATGTTTACCTATAGGAGCAGCATCCGTCTGCTTGTGAGCACTCTTCTTCTTCTTTCTTCGGACGTTGAGCGGGGATGTGGACTTGGTGTTGTGAGCCATCTGTACCTCTTCGGCGCGCAAGAGTTCGTGGAACACGCGTTCGGAAGCAAGCGTCGCTTCGCATATTTGTTTCGCTGGCACGCGGTTGGCGGTCCGAGCACGGTAGCCAACGTATGCGAGGACACCGAGTAATACGAGTGTCATCTTCATGTCGTAAGCGATCTCGAGCAACCTCCCGCCGACTTGGACGCCGATGATGGTGACGCTCATGTACGTGGGGCGTCGGTCGGTCCTCGATGGAATTTTATAACTGACCAAATAAACTCGGCTGCGGAATAACAGGGTGTGTTCGGGGTGGGACGGTATTTAACAAAGGGAATTTTTCCCCGCTTGAAAAGAAATAGAAGACGCCAAGGGGGCGCTGATTGGGCCGGTTGCAATATGTCGGTTGAGAGAGCTCAACAAGGAGCGGTGATGCGATCATCGTACGACGGCAGAAATATGATCTAGTGCAATCATTTATAATATTGCATACAAAATTCAAGTATACAGTGATCGATTGTGTGGTTTGGCACAGAGTGACAGATCTTTCGGGCGTCTGCCTGCAATAATGTACCGAATATTTTGTATACGAAGGCTCCCCGCTGGCCTATCGGACTTCAGCGGACGAAAATAGACACGCTCGCCGATACAAACTCCAAGTGCAAAAGGTTGGCCACACGCACCTCGTCATCCATGTGTGCCGCCTCGGCAACTTCAAGAACTGCCGATGACCAGCCGGAGAGGAATTGAACCAAAACACGCGTGTCGATTGCGTTGACGGCTCGTTCACATGGCAGGTGCAAGCAAAGCTGTATTGTCGGCACTCCGTCTCCACCGAATCGGTCATCCGATCTTGTAGCTGTCGACGTGCGGTGCGCGTCAAGTGGCATGGCACTGTGGAAGAAGATGCATGCGATCCCCTCCGAAGGTATGAGTGAGGTGCTGCTGCAGAGGACAGTTCCATGGGCTGTCTTCCTCCACACTAGCACGTTGTGTCCCTCTTGCCACATTCGACCTCATGGGAATTCGTCGCAATGTACACAGACCAATCACCTCGTGGGGGTATGCCAACTGCCATCCCCCTCGTCACTGACAGTCGCATAATACGTATGCTGATAGCTGCTCTGAACTGCGTTGTCCGTCGTTGCAGATGATGTCGCGGCCGTGACTAAGAGGCATCAACTCATGGCTGCAGGTCGCATCCGCCGTTGAAAGGCCAGGGTAGACCAACCAGAGTTCTGGAACGGCACCACCGCGGCCCATTCTGTCGACTTGGCGCAGGGTCCATTGTGAGAGACGATCTTGAACAGTCGTGTGTTTTGATTCGTTAAAAATTACATGCACTGCACCAATCAAAAGTGCTTTACCCCATTGAATTTTACCCAATCTGGTGCAGTCGGCGCTGGTCGATTGGCTGGTTTGTCGGTGGTTTAGAGCTGTCGGGTGGTTGATCTGCATTCGCCGCCTCTCGCCGACCCATCATGGTGCTGTACAAGCAGGTTATTCTGACAAACTTGAAGAGCTCGCCGGCCGACACGGCCAAGGCGTTCAAGGAACTGGCGTCGTTCATTCTGTCCAAAGGCGGTGTCGTGCGCGATGTGTCCCACCGAGGCCACCGTACGTTGGGGTACGCTATCGACGACCGACGATGGGGCGGCACTTTCGAGCGCCACCGCGAGGCCAAGTTGCTGGTCAAGACATTCGAAACGAGTCCCGCCACGTTGAAGGAGCTGGAAGCCAAAATGAAGTTGAGCTACTCGATTCTGCGCTTCACGACGTTCAAGGTGAAGAAGGATCCGCTCCGCGACGTGATCAAGGCATCCGCGACTGCGCCGGAGACTGAACCGGTGACTCCGTTCAACTGGAAGGAATTTAAGGCAGCGTCCACGGACGACAACACCAAGGTGTTTGAACAAGAATACGTGTTCGAAGCGAATGGAACCAGCAGCGACAAGCACGTCCCGTCGAAATTCGACTTGATGTCGCAAGAGGACAAGGACGATTTGGCGGACTGGCTGATGTCCAAGACACAGCCGGAAGGGGCGCTCAAGCAGGAAGCCGCCAAGAAGGACGAGTTCAACCTGTACGGGTCGGTCGACGACAAGGACGAAGAGGAAGCAGACGACGAGGAAGACGAGGACGACGATGATGGTACGTTGGATGAAAGAACGATCGAGGACTCTGATGTTGCTCATGCGTATTGCCTCCATAGATATCGCGGAGTGGGAAGACGAAGAATTCGAGCCTACTCAAGACGTCCCGGAGTGGAAGCGCGACTCGTCTTACGAACCAGAGCGACCCAGCAAGAAGGGCAAGGACAAATAGACCCAACGCAACTATTAGAATACAACGTGCACCTGTACCTCCCGCTATCTCGTCTTGACTCGCTCGCGTCGTCGTCGTCGGGGTCCCGCTGTGCGTGCAAGCAGATTCCACCGAGACGCTGTCGTTGTCACAGGCATAGGACGGTACATGCCGCAACCGCACTGGATGGTGTAGGTGCACTGGATGGGTCCGTTCTCGTCCAGGATGTTACCCTGTGGTCGATCTAGCAACACAGTCCTTCTCTCTTGTATGTCGTGATGGTGGGGCTGTGAGCGGCAGGCGCACGGTGGAGCGAGTCGCGCGTGCGATGTCCAGCATAAAGAAAAAGGTTGTGTAGTTGAGGTTACGTGGAATGCGACCTTCACGCGGGTCCTTACAACGCTGTGCCTCGCTCCAGGTTTTGACGAATCTCGACCGTGTACTTGTCGAACGCGCGCGAGATCTTCTTATTGAACACGCGATTCCGGTTGTTGATGTAGTCGATGTCTTCGCCGTCGTAATGCTGTCGTCGTCGGCTAAACTTTTTCTTCACTTCGGCACGGTGGGCGAGTTCCGCCACCATGCGATCCACGCCTTCTTCCGTCGTGGCATCATTCTTGCCGTATTCGAGTTCGTCATACTCCTTGGATGTCGCGCGATTGGTGTTCTTCTCGGTCGGAAGGGCATGCAAGCGCTTCTTGTACGCATTGTAGAGCGAATCTTGGTTAAACACTTCCCACCCAAACGCAGCTTTTTGTTTCTCCTTCTTCTGTGCCTTCTTTGCCTTCAACTCGGCGTCCACGACCGTATCCAGAAGATATGCTTTTTCTTTGGGGAGACTAGACGCTTCACGCTTGGGCGCGGCTCCGTCGTCTGCCGACCACTTCTTGGCCTTCCCTGGAGGAAGCGTCGCTTTCATGTGCTCTTGTTCCGCGAGTTCCTTGTTTTTCTTGCGGCCTGCGTTCATCTTCATGCGGATCTCAAACAGCTTCTTCTCCGCCTCAGTCCTGGTCGCATCGGCTGCTTCATCGCGCTCGTTGTCCGACATGGGTCTGAGCTCCTGAGCTTCTTCCTCGGTGGTGTGGGTGTTTGCGATTGAATTTTCACCTAGAACGACCGGATAGATATCCGGGAAACTCCGCTTCCATTATTTAAAATGCTCCAAATATCCATCTTTTCATCAAGTCGTTGTGTGTGCACGACTCGGACCACGATGGGAGCGCTCCAAGTGCTTGGCGGGCTGTGGCGCCTCGTGGTAGTGTTCGTCGCATGCATTGGCATGTCGTACGTGCTCTTCTCTCGGTTGTTGGAACGGCATCCGTCCTTGGCTGACACGCTCTCGTGGAACTTAAGCTTCGAAGACATCCAAAGAGGGGACGTCAGCGCCGCCCTTCGAAGCGCCATGGCCGAGGACTTTGAGTTGACCGTGTTATGTTTTGCCAGCGTCTTCTTCATCAAGCAGACTTTTGCGATTCCTGGCTCTGCATTGCTCAATGTGATTGCTGGTGTCCTGCTTCCCATTCACTTTGCATTTCCACTTGTGTGCTTCCTCACAATGGTACACGATGCCCCTCCGTCCCAGCCACAGTCAACTTACATGATGTTGTGGTGCAGTGCGGAGCGTCGTCTTGCTACATTCTGTCGTCGACCCTGGGGTCCCACGAAAGCCTCGTGTCCATGACCGACTACTTCTTGCCAGGTACTGCAACAGTTCATCGCACTGTTATGGACACACACCCATCTCTCTATTGCAGGAAAACTCGACATCCTTCAGGCGCAGATCGATGCCGCACGGAATGAACAGCGACTGATGTTCGTCCTCTTGTTCCTGCGTATTTTTCCCTTCTCGCCCAACTGGCTGCTCAACATGGCAAGTCCGTACCTGAACATTCCGCTCTTCCTCTTTGCTCCGTCCGTGTTCTTCGGCCTCATGCCGTACAACTATGTCACGGTCAAGGCTGGGTCGATGCTGTCGAACTTGCAAGGCATCCGAGACATATTCGACCTTCAAACCGTGCTCGGGTTCCTCACCCTCGCCGCATTGATGCTCGTGCCCGCGGTCGTCAAGCGGGCAAACTGCGCTGCCAAAAAGTCTCAGTAGCGTCGTGCAAACTTATTCATCGTTGTCGAACAAACTCCAATCCCACCGTGGTTTGCACCCTTGCGATACCCTTGATCGTACCGGAACAGGTCACCGGGACAATAGCTCCATTTGAGTAATGTCCAGACCCAGCAACTTGCGGCGTTTGTGTCGAGTGTGCATGAAGGAAGACTGACGACCTTTTCTTCGTGCCATGCATGCACCATCATCACTTGACCGCCATCTCCCTGCAGTCCCGAATCAGAATGTATGTCAGATCGACATTCTTCTTTGTCCAAACTTCGTGCCCACCATGGCGACAGTCGAAGACGACGCCGCCGACGCCTTGATGGCCGAGTTTGACCGGCCCATGACGCCTCCTCGCGCTTTCAATGCGTCTATACCGATACGATACCCGTCTCTCCACGATCTACCAACGGGAAAACCTCCATCATCGTATCCTTCCTTCCAACAGTCTACTGCACCGGACGCAACCACCTCAACGTGCCCATTCCTGTCTCCGTCCTTGTCAGGGCCAGCTTCCGTTCCGAAATACCCTTCGCTTAATGCTTGCTCAATCCGTGAGTAGCGCATGTGCCCTGCAAAGTTGCTGTATCATTGCCACGTAGACTACCCGGCGCCGACATATGCAACGACAGCCCCAGTGATCACAGACACTCCTGCGATTCCAGCGCCGTCGCGAAACGACATGACGTTTGCCGCGTCCAGCTATTCCGGCGTTTCGACATCCGCGCCAGTGCTTTACCCAACATCTCCTGGTTTAGAGGTCACCGCAAGTTCTGACGAACGGATTCCAGATCTGTCGTCACTACCGGCATCTCCATCTTCTGCACACAGTCACGCCGACATTCCATCAAGCCCTTCCTCTCCACACGCTTCCTGGACTCCTGCAGCGACAGTCGCCAAGGCTATCAAAGACGTCGAAGTCCTCGAAGCCGACGCCGAAGTAGACGTCCAGCACGAACTCGACACGATGCAATCTGTGATGCATCACATCGATCTCGCCCTGCGAGGCGAGACACCCCATCAAATTGCCCAGAAGGAACTCCGCGAGGCCGCCCGAAAAGAGCGCGAGAGACAGCGCTTGGAACGTCAGCTGGCGCAACATGAACAGCACGTTCAGCGGGTTGCCGCCCGCCTCACCAGACAATCCTCCTCCACAGCAGAATAGCCCATGAGCCAGACCTACCTGCATGATCGCTCAAGCGTGAACGCCCCTTCTCTCTGATTATAATCGATTACCACTTGAACAAAGTCCAAGGCGACGTCGACGCGAGCCACAACAGATTTGCCTTACGCAGCAAAGGTCGCTACGACGCCACGGTGGTCCGAGGCGTACACGGGGCTGTCTCCATCTTGGCTGAGCATGCCGTTGTCCTTGGGAAAATTTGCCGTGTCGGACGTCGGCGCTTGTCCAAAGACATCGCATCGCACAGCGCGACCTTTGCCGCGGGACAAGACAAAGTCGATGCGCTTGACGGGGTCGTCGCTGGGAAACGTGAACGCGTGTTGGATGTCGAACGGGCGCTTGGAATTGGGGGTCGGCTCGTCTTTGTGGACGTGTAACCACGCGTCGACGAGGTTGGTGCGGTGGCCGTGGAGGGTCGCCTTCCCCTGAAGGAACTGAATTCCATTCGACTGCGGCTCTGCGTTGAGATCGCCCAACAGCACCTGCGTCACCCCTACGCCTTGTTGAATGTACTCCCACACTTGGACCATCGTTTGCTCTCGGGACCGCTCGCTCAAAGACAAATGCGTCGCGTACACGTCGACGAGGCCCCACTGTGGCACGTCGATCTACACATCGCCGTCAGCATCTTGGAATGCCGGTCGCAAGGTCGCGCACCACAGCATGCAGACACAGTCGCTGGTGCGCATCGTTCGGGTCGTCCACCACACGAGATAGAAGGATGTAGTCGGATGCGACGATCGGGTGTTTCGATAAAATAGCCGGCCCTTCCTCGACATGCTCGAGGGGGTTTTGGTCGTTCGTGTACGCCATCGCCGGACGGTACACGTACTGGTACGCTGTGCCAAGGCGCTCCATGATATGCTATGAGTCTCGTCGATGAGGCCGGGACGAGTTGGGACAACGTGGAACTACCTCGATCTGCGCGTGATGGCCAACGGGCCCAAATGTGCTGTCGACTCGGACCTCTTGCAGGCCCACGATGTCTGCATTCACTTCGCGCAAAATCGAAACCAAGTGATCCATCCGCTTGGTGTACATGTGCCACCGATTGGACCGACCGTAGACGGCTTCCGGCGGATTCACATTCCAAACGTTGTACGATGCAATCTTTGGCGTGTCAGGTGCTCCCGGTGCAAAGGAGGACGTGGCAGGCGCCTGCAGCGGGGCATACGTGTGTTCGAGGACCGCATAAGAGTGCTCTAGGGTATTTAGATGCACGACAGCGCGGTGGCGAGTGACCGGGGCCGCTTTCGTTACGAAGGTCAGGTGAAAGTTGACGCCATGGTTCACGCGAAGATGGAACGACGACGTCGCGTCCGAGTTGATATAGTTGTACGCAACGACTTCCCACGGGTGGATCCCATCCTTTGTCACGTCCAGTTGGAGGATCGTGGCGGATTCGAGGGTCACATCTGTTCGCGTCATGAAAAAGTAAGAGAGGGCGGCGGCTAGCGCGGATTCTGCTGCAGCGTCCGAGCTTTGCTCGATGTGATACAAAATATTGCCGTATGCAAGATCGTTCGGTCGTGAGCACGTTGGGTTGGTATCGAGTGTGCAAGATGTCAGAGAGGACTGTGCGAACACGTCAATCGGGGACGACGCTGGGACGACTTTGGAGCGAATGTGTTCCGACACGGTTCGGGATGTTGCTTGGATTCTCTGGCTAAGCATGGCAGGGATGTGTCTCCACGAGTCAGGGGTGCTTTTTGCCGCTGCATCGACCATGACGGCCGTCCATACCGCGACAACGAGAAGCAGCCGCATGTTCGTGATCTTTGACCAGAAATGCCGTGTCAGGATGGCACGACATTGACCAATGGGCATGGGTGTTGCACGAAAGATAGCCAATCCAAATACGTGATGTTTGTCATTTTATCCAATCCGATGTCTTGATGATGCTCTATCCGGATAAAGAGCATGGCATCTCGGCCAATGGTTAAAACGACTGGAACCGTGGCAACTTCAGTTGTCATGATTTCCGCGCTCGCATGGGTTCCGCGCGGCGCGTCCAAGCGCGTGCCGGAGAAGTTTGTCCTGTCGAAGGAAGAAGTGGAGATGATGTCGCAGCTGGCGCAAGAGGTCGAAGAAGATAACGAGGAGGTTGAAGAAGATGAGCCAGAAGAGGACGGGGCTGACGACGATGCCGACATGGAAGGCAATGACGACGATGACGACGAAGCTTTGAAGGAGTTCAACATGGATCAGTATGACGAAGAAGATGACGATGCCGCTGTAAAGGACTACCTGCAAGGCAACGGCGCCGAGATTCCTGTCGACGACGACGAAGAGGACATTCCCGACGATCTGGACGACGCGGACAAGGCCGACATGGAAATCCGACCGACGGACTCTGTTGTCCTCGTGTGCAATACTGAGGAAGACTTTAGCAACTTGGAAGTGCACGTGTACGAAGAAGACTCGGGCAATCTGTACGTCCACCACGAGATCAACCTTCCCGCGTTCCCGTTGGCCCTCGCCTGGATGGACATCGCGCCTGTTCCGCCTGTCAATGGCGCCCCCGTCAATGGCAGCTTCGTCGCAGTCGGTACTTTCAAAGCCGGCATTGAAATCTGGAATTTGGATGTGCTTGACGTACTGGAGCCGACGGCAACGTTGGGTGGCGAAGTGAATGCAACATTTCGGTAAACCATGTCCGCAGTCGACCTTTATATGATCGAAAATGTTACGATAGCGACGTTGCCATCTCGAAAGCCATGCGGAAGAAGCACAAGGCCGCGCTCAAGCCTGGTTCCCACCAGGACTCTGTCCTCGGCCTCGATTGGAACGCAGGCCACCGCAACATGCTCGCCAGTGCGTCGGCCGATGCAACCGTCAAAATCTGGGACGTCACGACCCAGCAGTGCATGCACACCATGACCCATCACACGGACAAGGTACAGAGCGTCAAGTGGAACCCTGTCGAGTCTACGATTCTCGCCAGTGCGTCGTTCGACCGCAGCCTTGTCGTGCTGGATGGCCGCGCGCCGCACGCGTACTCCAAGTTTGCGCTCTCAGCCGACGTCGAATCGATGGTGTGGCACCCCCATAGCCCAAGCACTCTTGTCGCATCCACAGAAGACGGGATCGTTGTCGCGTATGACGTCCGAAAAGGCAACTCAGCGCCGTTGTACCGATTCCAAGCGCACGACACGGCGGTGTCGGCGATTTCGTTTTCACAGGCGATTCCTGGTTTATTTGCCACGGCTGGGACCGATAAGCATGTCAAGATCTGGGACTTGGCTGGCCCGACGCCCCAGTGCGTGGCATCGAAAGACATGCAAGTTGGCGAACTCCTCACGCTGCAGTTTTACCGCGACTCGCCGTTCCTATTGGGCACCGGCGGCACAGGCGGTGTCCTCGCCCTCTGGGATACGTCCGAGAACGACGGCGTCGAGCGCAAGTTTGCCACGCGCGCCGCCAACATTGGCAACCACCCCGTGCCGGACGGCCTGCAACTCCACACGTCGTTCAAGTCGGCCAACGACATTGCCGACGAATTGCTACGGGAAGAGGAAGAACAAAACGCGGTAAAAATCCCCGCCACCAAGAAAAAGAGCAAGAAAAACAAGAAATAAAACTAGACCATCTATATTAACACTGCCATTCCTGAACCACGTACGTCATGTGCTCCACTGGGCCTACCGAGACCTCTTTGTGCCTCCCGCAGACGCCGCGGGAGTCCTCTCGCATGGTGCATCTTGACGTCGTGTTGGACAAAAAGTTGCCTGCGGTGACAACGTTTTGAAATGTTGTCGGTTGATTGGTTAAAATAGGTCTCTTGCTTTGGTGACTGTCTTTCGCTATAACGATTGGACATAATTTGTGTTACCTACCTTTGATTGGTGTAAGTTTCACTTAAGAAACGTGATTGGTCAAAATTCCGCGAAACTGTTCTTCATCGAAGTGCCAGGTGTGGTTCGACATGTTCATCCCGTTCCGCAACATCTCGAACAAGCAGAGGTATGGCCAGAAGAGGCGAGACGAGCTCGGCCTTCATGTTCGGTGTGTTGGTGATAGTGTAGCAGCGACGGGGCTTTGCGTCGTCCTCGCGTACTTGTCACACTACCTTGATGGTTTGATCGAGCAAGACGCGGCCGTGGCGTCCAAGAAGAAAGGAACTGTGGCGTGGAGCTCGTTTGAAAAGTAAAGATGTCCCATTATCCGATATGTAGACTCAATCTGGGCACGGGCTACGTGTGCACTTGGTTGAGTTGTTGCAAGAACTCGTTCGGGGTCAGGAGTTCCGTGCACCCATACAAGATTTGCCGCGGGTGCGTCGACGGCTGGGCCTACCATTCGAACCGTTATCGTGATCAATCCACCGTTGTCTCTTGCGCACCTTTGCATATGCTTGCAGGTTTTGGTACTCGTTGTAATTGCCACCACCGATGACGAACACGATCACATCGCGGAACGGCGTACGTTGCCGAGGGACCTGTCCGCTACCCGGTTTGATTTTGGGGTCCAAGTACAGATAGCTCTCGTCTTCTGTGTTTGCTCTACCGTCGTATTTCTCTCAAAGGACCGTCCCGTGGCGAGGTATATACGTACCGAAGCTCCGAAATGGCGTCGGCGACGCGCGTGAGCTGCAGCTTTTTGTTTTCCGGCAAAAAATTCTTGAACTGTTCAGCGGCTTGCGTGAGCCATCCTTGCGCCTGGCCAGCAAAGGTGCCGGCCCAGTTGTTTGCAAGGCCTTTTAGCTTGGATGCCGCCGTCGCGTTCGAAGCAGGCGCGTCGGTGGCCAGGAAAGACGATCCGACACTCGCGTGCTTTTGGAGGGATGTATGCTGCTTGATAAATTTCCACGCGTTGTCAAATACCGCGAGCGCGGCGGTCGAGTCGGTCATGGGTTGGCGTAAGATGGCTTCGAAGTCTGCGATCTCGCCGGACGACGCGCCCGTCGTGAGGTAGTAGATCATGAGGAGGCGCACTTTGTCTTCGGCGCTGCCCTGTGCAACCAGATATGGTCCAACGTTGCTCGGGCAAGGACGAGCAACAGCACCTTTTCGCTGAGCAACGCAACGACTTCGGCAGGTGGGACATTGAACCCTTCAATCAAACGTTGTTCGAGCATCGAGTATTCCGGGACCTGGCGAGACGTGACGGCATCCATCGTGGCTTGGAACACGTTCGTGTGCACTTCCAGCGTCTTCTTCATCTCGAGCAGCGCCGGAAGCGTGTCGACCGCAGCGGCGAGTTCCTTGGTGCTGTTGCCGCCGCTTCCCGCCTACGCCATCATGCCCATCATGCCCATCCGTTGGTGTAGAATCCACGTACCTTGGCCGAGATGTCCTTTTCCTTCTTCAGGACAACCTTGAGCTCTTCTTCGTGACTCGCAATCGCGTCCGGAAACAGCATCCCCGCCGTCGACTCGAAAAATTTGTCCGACTTGACGTCCAAGTCCTGCGACTTGTCGACCAGCGTACCTTTGTCGTTGGGCACTTTGAACGCCACGCGGTTCAGTTTGATGCCAAGCATGTCGTCGACCAACGCCTGCCCAAAACGACACGTGTCAAGTCCACCGAAGGTGCAGCCTAGAGACTGGAGCATGGCCATCTCTACCTGGTATGTCGACGGGTGGTGCAGCATCGACGTCAGGTCTTCATTTCGATCCAAAATGATTAAAACGGGGCGCTGGATGACCAGAGCCACGACGTCAGCTTCGAATGGTCGAGTTGGCGTGCTTCAACTGCAAACGGTACCTGGAACGACGAAGCGCCCGAGTCGTTAAATATGCCAGTGCGCTTTGTCTATTCATGACAGTGCAGTGCGTGAGCGACTACGCAATCGAAGAGAGGTTGGACGCACCAAGTGATCGCGAAGGGTTTGCGTGAGGCGTTCGGCGACGAGGCGCGATGGACCTTCCGTCGGAGGACACCGAATGACTGGGACGGTCCCGAGAGTCGCCAGGATGGAAAACAACCCTATGATGACAAGCATGACGTGCATGGGCACATGCTACCTGGCTGTGCTGTACCCTGAGCGATGGACGACATGGTGGCGTCGATGGTCGCATCAGACGATTTGGCATCGTTCCATGCGACGTAGCTGCTTGGCTGGTTCAACGAAAAGAGCTGGGGCTCAAGTGACACAAAGTTGGCGTGCTGATCGAACACCTTGGATATCTATATCAAAAAGAATATGTGTCTGCCGAGGGCCAGAGTGGGTGTGCACCATGGCTGTGCACCCGGCGTCCACGCAGCCTTTTGCAAATGCTTCAAGCTTGTCGCGGGGAATCGGCGACACGAAATTCAAGTGCATCGAGCTGTACAGTTCCTTGGTGCAGTCTTGGATAATTCGTTGGAGGTTGGCTGTTGTTGGCTGGACAAAGTAGATTGCCGGCACGTCCGGGATTTCTTCGCGATCACTGTCAAGCAACATGTGCAGCGTCACTCCCTTCTTGCGGAGCTCGTGGAGTTTAAGAATCGGCGAGATGATGTCACGGCAGAAGTTATCGTACACCAAGACCTTCCATTGCTCGCCCCACCGGTCCCTAAGCCCATATGACCGATCCATCAGGACGACGACTCAACCCATCGAACGTACGCATTTGCGGCTTCCGTCGCGCCATCGACGTTGAACTCGAGCATGTGGAGCAACATTTCTGCACGCATATTAGCTCACACATCAGGCTCATGCTGACCTTTCTGCTTGTCTTGCAGCGAGACCGCCATGACTGCTTAATGACGTGTACTCTTGGAACTGCGCTTGCGGTGAAATGGGAATTCCGGATAAAATTACATTTTATACGGATCACTTTGTCCACCCCCCGAAACCGCAGGGATGGCGCCATCCTCGCTGCTGCGTACGTGTAGCCAGATGCTTCATGGGGTGGAAGGGGCGATCTTGGGTAGGGGTATATGAAGGTGTTGGGATGCTGCCGCAGCGCGCTTGAACAACGCCGCTTGTTCCGCTTTGAGTGCTTCGTCGTCTGCCGCGTTGGTCAACATGGCGCGGGACCTTCGCTTCCTCGACGCTCCGACTTTCTTTGATACGCGATCGCATTGCGCGAGAGAATGAGTTGCATGCGCAAGGGTTGAATGCATACCTGAGTTTCTTCAAGGCGTGGCATCTTTGTGTGCAGGTCCGGATATGCCTCGAGCGCCTGAAGCACATTCGCCGGCGTCATGCGCACCAGATCGTGTTTGGCTTGGCCCCGAGCAATGCTGTTCGTGCTTGTCAACAGCGTACGGATGAACTCTACACATGTGAAGTGGCATGAGACCAACGGCCGCGCAGACCCTGAGGCGTAGGAGAGGGTGTACCATCAGTACATGCGCAAACAACATCGACGGCGCCATTTGTGATCTCCTCTCCATCGGGGATGTGTTTTCTCAGCATGTCCTCGATAACTCCTGTAAGAACATGCAGCCCACGCGTCAAGCGGCGGCGGCGATTCATCACGCACTCTCACCATGCGGGATTCCTTTCATTTTTGAATGCTGTAACGTGATTTCATTGGCTACATTCCAAATACGCAAGCATGATTGGTCCATTCCCCTTGATCTCACAATTCTACTTGGTCAATGCAAGAAACGTTGCAATGTCATGCAGGGCGCGGCGGACGGCGTGCGCCGGCGCGGTGTCCTTCCGGTACACGAAGAAGACATCGCCCCCATCGCCTTGGATACGATCGAACCCACATGCATCAAAGACTGCATCCAGTTGCACTCCCAACGGCGCGACATTCTTGACGAAGAACGCGTTGGACGCTTTGATTTTGTGGAACGCAACATTGTGTGGCTTGTCGGCAAGGTTGGTCAAGTATCGTGCCACTACCCCAACATGCTGGAAATAGGAACATCACATGGAGAAGTGTGCCGCACCTCCTTGGGCCGCGAGTTTGGTCGCATCTTTGCCTGCCGACGCTATTGCCGCCTTCAACGCCACGTACACGGGACCTACATTTACGTCCGTGATGCGTTCCAATTTTGGTAACAGCACGAACCTCGCGGCGCTGGGCACGAGAAAACCACAGGCTGGTTGATGTGGTCTCCCAACTCGAACGAGAACGCGCGCGCCATATGACCAGGTGGAATCGGCACAACAAATGGCCCACCTCCATTGCCGCCCGCCGTCAACGACCGGCCAAAGTTGGTGGTCACGCTGAGTTGATCCATCCATGCTCCGCGACGACCTCGCACCTCGGAGATAAACTCCCCTTCGAGCAACTGCAACGTTTGCATGGTGGCAGTCGCAGCACCTCCCGTGGTCCACGCACGCCCGGGCGTTGTTTGCGCATGTTTCGTTTGGTATGTCAACTGTACACCGTCGAAGTAGTCGCCGCTCCACACTAAGGAAGGGTCAGCTTCACGTGGTTCGCATGCGGCAATATCGTACGATGAATTGCCGACACGCGGTAGCCAGAGTCCTCGAGTGCCTCCGATTCCCGACAAATCACTGAAGGGTCGACAGGATCCGCGCCGTGAGCTACAAGCTGGGGGGACGGCACGGCTGCTCGAACCAAGGGCTGCAACTCTTCGGCAGTCAAGTCTCGGGCGATGAGCGCAACGTGGCTCAACAACGGTACTTGATGTGGCATCGCTGGCGACGTCAGGGCAAATTCGACGCCGACGATGTCGGACACGCCCGATGGCGATTGAAAGATCTCTTGGCCGTTGACAAAGCACGTCACCGGCCCGGATGCAGGTGCCACCAACGCCACGTGGTACGTCGTGTCGATGGCCAAGGAATCGCGCGAAGTGACGACGGCGTTTCCGTGCCGCGTCCATTCCAAGCTACCATCCAAATTGACATGGCAACAATCGAGTCAAACGCGTACCAAAGGTGGGATGTGAACGACAAGTGGTGCATGTGGCCGGTCGAGGATCGAAGCGTCAAAAACGGCGTCGACGGAAGCGGCGACCCGTTTGACACGGCGAGCCATCGAACCAACCACTGCAGCGTCCACGCACCGTCTACCTTGGCATCGACGTTGCAGGACAAGGATCGCAATGGCAAGAGCTGAAGACCAGTGTTGGACGGCCTAAACTTGACAGCAACTGGCTTTTGAACCGGGCAATTGCCATTGACGCCATGGCGGCCTTGGCCAGATGCATCCACAACGATCGGCGAAATGTGGTCCTGGAGTGGCCAGTAAAACATCAATGCGGTCGACAAGAGCGCGGACTGAAACATTCCTGTTGCGATGGAAGGCTCTGTTAACGCTGGAATGGCGTCCAGCGACGTGTGTTCGCACCGTATTCCGGACACGCTAGCGACTGCAGGCCTTCCTCCGACGCCTGTTGCAAGGCGGCAATCGCTTGAATGGATGCGGCCGAGTGGGTCGTCAAGTCAAATCCTAGTTGGACGGTCATGAACAGGATCAACTCCATTCGGATTACCTGGCTTGCGCGTGTGCACATGCAAACAGAATGGGTTGACACAGGTCGTCCCATGGGTGCACCCGCCTTGAAGCATGCTTTGCAAGAGACTACCAGACATGAGCGATGGGCCATCCGTTGGACATTACCTGCGCAAGAGTTGGTTCACATCCATGGCAGAGGTTGACGACGGCGCAATACCAGCCATGGTAGTGGTGGCCACGGCCGCGTCAGCAGCACTCGCATAGCCCGATTCATTGCGGGCATCTCGCCACTCCTTGGACCCCGACACACGTCCGACTGTTTCGTGGGCCTTGACTTGCTTCGTGGCGGCCAGCTCGCGTTCCTCCGCTGCAGCACGTGCTGCCAAGATCTAAATTGCTTGAATCGTGCTCTCAAGACGCCATGAGGTACCTGTTTTTTCGCTGGTGTGTGGGTTTTGGTCGCGTTCAGTTCCTTCAAGATGCGGGCGAGTTGTGGCTCTCTTGCCTTTGTCCGTCGGTCCAGCAACGCTTCAAAATCCCGCGTGTATCGCCTGGGCAACGTCGTTCATTCAATGTGTACAGCATGGGATTGCCGCACCGCGCAACGTCCACGATTTCATCCACCGACGTGGCAAAGATGTAGTTGAGCTTCTTGCCCCACCCGACTTCGTACGTGAGCGGGCAGTCGAGCTGGTCCTCGCACGGGTCGCAATGGAGCCATCTCTACGCCAAGCTTTCGACAGGGCGCGCCCTTCACTCGGTCCCATGCCGTACCCCATGGTGCGAGCTGTACACTTCTGTCCACACGTGGTCCGTAAAGTCATGAACGTAGCGCGCTTCATATCCCAATGCCCGACAGCACAGAGTAAAGCAGTTGGCCCACTCGCCGCACCGTCCCGTTCGCGTTTGCAGCAGCTTGGTCGGGTCGTTGTATCTAGACACGTCTTTCGTGAGCGTCACGAGAGTTTGAAAAGGTCCAAGAAACGACGACATCAGCGCTGCACACACCGAGGAAATCGCGTCAACGCGCGGCAAGACGTGCACTGGTAGACTTCGACACGGCCAGCCCCCCCTGCAATCTACCACACCAAGCGTGATCCTTCCGTCGCCATGGTGGATCACAACCTCTTCGGGGGTCACCGGGCCATCTTGGCGAACGTTTTGCGTGCCGGCGCCGCACACTTGGCACGCCGGAGAATTCATCCACGAGAAGAACTCGTGCTTAAACCATCGAATCAGCTGCCGCAGCACTTCGTCCTGACACGCACAGCGTCATGTCAATGGATTCCAAGGACATGCATGCGTTGTGGCTTGCCTCAAAGGTCGGCTGGGGCGTCGGATTGGCCCGCGCACGGTCGTGGAGCAAAGCCAACGGAATCGTAGCCAACGCGCTTGCCTGGTAATCCTGTCGCTCGTACTTGAGCATGTTTTGCAACTGTCCTGCGAGCATTTGCTTGAGCTGGGCTTCTTGTTGCTCAAAATGTCGCGCAGCTTCGGTATTCCACTTGTCGCGCACCAAACCATCCATCACTTGCGCAGCATGGACCTGGTGGGCCGACAATTGCGGCCACGACCTCGACGACGACGTGCCAGCAATTCGCGGCTCAAACAAGCACTCGCCATGTGACCTAGCAACGCTCAGTTTGTCGTTTTTGCACTGGAGTAGCTGTACCCGCAGATAAATCCAGCAACAGGATTCACCTTGTAGCGCAGGAAGAGCGGCGTCGCCCCGACGTTGCCTTCATTCACATCCACTTGCGACCGGACAAAGCCATTCCCGCCAACTCGTGAAGAAGATACGTCCAGCTCCTGCAATGCCAGCCCGGACAGCTGCCGCCAGTCTTCCCCCGCAAGCCGTTGAAAGCACAAGTAAATGCCGGTATTGCTCTTAGTCCCGTGGTTCAAGTTGACTGGAAGCACAGTGTAGCCTTCAACGAGTGGAGGTGCTTCGCCGTGGATGAGCTTTACATGCGAGATCGGCAGACGGCTTCCGCCTGTCCAAGATATAAGTTGAGAAGAGCTAGAAACGGATGGAGCGAGACCTCGCTTGTAGCATAGAAAAACAAACGGTCCCGACGCTGTGTGGTTCAAGTCTGCGTTGAGCTTGGTAAATCCCATCGGGGGCGGAACGTCCGCAGCGCCGACGACGACGTCGAGGTCGCAGATAAACGATTGCCGAAGGCGATCTCTCGTTTCGGCCGAGTTCGAAACTGCAGGGACAAGGGATCCCGCTACAAGTGACGTTGAGTTTGACGAGATGCGATGGAGATGGAATGTACAAGCGAGCGCGCAAGTCGTTGCGCATGATTGGCATATTGGCGATCCGTTGAAGTCGAACGCCGCCTGGACGAGGGGGATGGAAGGAGCGACAAGTCGAGTGCACGAGTCTCTCCAATCCGAATCCGTGGCGGGACTGAACGACGAAGAGGGAGCTGCGGAGTCGACAAGAAGCAACCATGGGATGGGTTTCGAAATCGATGCGATCGTGTCATCCATCGCGACCTTGCGGCCCGTCGACGTCACGAGAACCTGCGACTCCACGTACACACCAAGCAGCGAATACAATTGAAACGACAAGACCGCCGCAGTGTCATTGACGTCGACTTCCACGTCATACCTACAGGTGCATGAGATCTTCTCCATTGCCAGGAAGAAGCAACGGACTCGGTGTCGGCGAACACGACCGCAATGTGCGTCATCACGTCGGTGCTTGATTGCAAGTGTATCCAGGAAAAATTAAATATTTCAGCCACGAATTTACCAAAATATTAGAAAAGTCAAGCCAATATCTAAGTAATACTAGTAGTAAGTTCTATAGAGCTTACGGTTGGTGATTTAATCGACGAGATCGAAGCAATGTTCGTAACATTGGTGGACGGACCACTAAATTTTTCAGAAACATGAGACGATCGATTGACCCTTTCCACGCGACTTTCAATGCGCACATTGGAAGTTGCGTAGGAGTTGTGTACTACCGTGCGGCACTCCACTAAAATATCTTCGGTTCTCTTCGTTGTCAATTTAGATACTGGACTGTCTACACTCAAGAATAAAGTGCTCCTTAGTAGTACTATCCAAAACTGTATAAATCAATATCATTGGTATAAATTGCCACGGGGAACCTCTTAGGTATGTTTGAATTCCGTGAAAAGCCGCGCCGCATCGTGCCGCATATGTCGACTCTCGATGGATCCATCGTGCCGTAGTCCATACCAATCTACGCAGACAGATGCATCGCATCACTCACCACCGCGACGCAAGCGAAGCTTCCGTGTGCTCAATGAGTCGTCAACACTCCTACAGACGCGTGGGTATCTCATACCTCTTCCCGCGACAATGAACCGGATTCCAGACCTCGTGGAGCAACGTTCGACCACCCCCACGTCACAGCACCGTTCAAACTCATTTACAAGGATGTTTCGTCGCAAAACAAAGCCGCAAATGTCCCGCCTACCATCCATGGAGCCTAAGGTACCCCACCAATCAAGTAACAACAATCCCCTCAACACAAGCAATGTCAGCGACGTTGTGCTCGACTTTCTCCAGGCACCGATTACCCCCATCACAACTGCTGTCTCCTCACAACACTCTCCAGAAGTGTGCACCATACCTGTCGAACTCTTCTACACAAACGAATTCTGCACGACGTTGAACAGCACTGTCATGTTGTCTGGTTGGCGGGTGCACGACGCAGACCTGTCGTTCTTGAGCTCGTTACAACTGGCATGCTCCAATCCAAGCCAACATTTACTGCACATACACGTCAACGAATGCTCAGAGCTGACGGATGCGGGGCTGAAATTCCTCGGCAAACTGCCGTCCCTTCGAACTCTGCATTGCCGGTCCTGTCCGCAGCTCCATGGCCACGGCCTCTTTGCCTTCGCGTCCTCTCCATCCCTCGCTGACCTGGATTTGTCCAACAATCCGTGGGTGCACGACTCTGTGTTTGCCTTTGTTGTTCAGTCCATTCCTCGCTTGCAGTCGCTGCACTTGGCCAACTGTACCCAGGTGACCAGCCAAGGCATGTTCTCGCTCGCGGACCGACCGCACCATAGCTTCCTGCCGCTACTTCAGCTAGACGTGTCCGGCTGTGTCAAAATTACCGACTCGGGTCTACTCGTGATCCTGACACACTGCCCCAAACTCGAGACGTTGTCCATCTCCCACATTCCAGGACTCGAAGGGCTCACGTTGTACGCCGTCTTGGCCCAGCAACGGCTGACTCCATCCTTACTGACCCATGTTGACCTGAGCCACACAAAGTCGCTGCACTTTTCCGCGCTGCCGACCATCGCCAGAGGGTGCGGCCGGCGCCTCACCCATCTCAACGTCACCAATACCCACGGCATTTCCGACGACGGCCTCGTCGCGCTGGGCCGACACTGCCCCAACCTCGAGGTCCTCACTCTCCACGGATGCTGCGATGTGTCGGACAGTGGCATCGTGCACCTCGTCCAATACGTTCCTGTCGTCCACCCTCACGATGCCGACTTTGAGCTCCACCCAACGACTACCCGTTGCACCCAGCTCCGGTCGGTGGACCTCACAGGCTGTGTCCTCGTCACCTCGATCGGCATCGTCGCCATAGCATCGCATTGCCCCCACTTGACGACCTTAACACTCCACGGCGTTCACCACGTCGACAGCACCGCGCACGAGGAGCTTGCAGTTCGGTGCCGTCGCCTCGCAGTCGTCGGCGTCATGGGAATGCTCGTGCGACTCGGTCAAGCGGGGTCTGGTGAAAATAGCAACATATTTGCCGCCCCCAAACTGCCTCCCGCCAGTTTGCGGGCTCTCATTGTGGACTCTACCGCAAGTTCCCTCAATCTTTCCAAAAGCGCATGCGAGCCGGACCACGTGGCGACTGCACTTCGAGCCGCGGCGTCGACGGCACGCCAATTTAAGGAACTACATCTCGGTTCCCTCGTCACGGACGACGTCTGCAGCGCCCTTGTCAGTACCTTCACCGCCGCACCAGCCTGTCAAATCCGCACACTGGACCTATCTCGCAGTCGGCAATTCACCACGGCGTCCCTGCAAAGCGTTCTTCGAGTCACGCCGCAACTGAAGAACCTCAACGTCGAGCACTGCGACCAACTCACCAACGATTTTGTCGTCGACTTGGCGCGGTGGTGCCGGAATTTGGAGCATCTGAATGTTGCTGGCAATATTTCCTTGTCTGACGACGGCGTGCGATGTCTGGAGCCCGAGGCCACTTGCCCACGATTGACGACTCTGACAGTAAAAGGGTGTCCCAATGTCACCAAGGCATGTCTTGTCGCTGTGGCAGCGACCCACCCTCGATGTCAAGTGGGGTCGAGTGGCCTCGAGTCGAAACCATTCGACATGGGTGGTTTCCTTGCCCGCCGCCGCGCTGTCCAACAAGCTGCATGTAAAGTGATCGCCTGGATGCGGATGTGCTTGCAGCGTTATCGAGAGCATGAACTGCGACGGCGATTGCTGTGGACGCGGCTCAACTTTCGCGCGCAGTGCGCTCGTCGCATCCAAAGACGTGTGAGAGCAATCCAAGCCGCGGCGCTCGAAGCAGCCCGAGTACGTCAAGCAGCGCTCGATTTCGCTATCCGACAAGTCGCCGCCGTCTGCGTCCTTGTCCGTTACCTCCGAGTGTACATGTTGCGTGTGTACATCCGGCGTCAAGTGGAAGCAAAGCGCGCAGCTGACGCATTCGATGCCGCTGTGCGCAAACGATTCATCGAAAACCGTGCCACGACTGCCATCCAACGTGCCTATCGGTACTACCGCGGTCGACAAGTGACGCTGCAGTGGCATGCTCGGTTAGGAGCATACACAGTCCTGCGCAATCGCCGCGCACTGCAGCTCCAACGACTGTATCGAGGACATCACGGCCGCATCACGGCACGGGCGTTGCTCCAAGCCGAACAAACAACCCTCTTCGACTACGTTCTCCGTGAGAACGAGACCATGTTGGCGAGCCTGTCGCTGCATCGCGTGGCCCGAGGATTTGTCGGGCGCCGGCGTGCGTCTGCCCGACGCGCGTACTTGTCGGACGTCGCTCGCATTCGCAACTTGAGCGCCAGCGTCATTCAAAAGGCGTTCCGAGCGTATTTTGCGAAAATCGCGCTGAAGCGTCACTTGTTTTCGAACGCGACCACAATCCAAGCCGCTTTTCGCGGTTGCCGGGGACGGCAAAAAGCCACAACGTACATCCTCGACCAGCGCTATGCGTCGCCAGTTGTGCTCTGCTTGCTCGCCCCACGCAGCATCTTCCATCTGAACCTGGCCCAGCCATGGCAAACGAAGCGAAATGCTGGCATCGCGGTCGGCACGAGCATGCAGCGATGTTGGCACGGATATCTCGGTCGCGTCAAGGCAAACGCACGACGCAGCGACCATCTCCATCAGTTGTACATGAACGACATGAGTGCGCGGGTGTTGCAGCACTTCTTCGCACACATCCGGTACAACTTTTATCTCAACGTTGGTGCCATTTGATGCGCATGTCGATAGGTCACGCCGGCGTCTTGCGCGGTTCCGAGCGTACATGGCCCACCGGCACGTTAGTGCGACCAAGATCCAAGCCACGTTTCGCATGTGGAAAGGCAAAGTGAAAGCGTACGCGGCATTTCTTGGCCGCCAGCGACGGTCGAAGCACTACGCGATCCGATATCTTTACTACCAGGGGGTGGTCAACCCAGCGTCGGGGGCCTGGAGTCACTGGCGCCTTGTTCAAGAAGGCGCAATGCATGTGTTGGTGCAATTCTACAGGGCTTCCCTGCGGTCACGTGGATGGATGTCGCCGTCGTGGATTCGGCACCGCTACCAACGCGCGGCGCACATCCAAGCGTGGATCCGAGGGTACTTGACGCGAAGAGCCGTGCGTGAGTATGCGATGCAGATGGACATGGCCGCGCGGTGCGTCCAGCGAGGATGGCATCGCAAGATGGAGTGGAAGAAATGGCGAAGCGTTGTGGAAGGCATGCGCGAGAAGAAGCGGCGGCAGGATGAAGAAGACCGGGCGAGCGGCATCGCCAAGACACGAATGAAGCAGTTTGCGAATGACATGTTGAACAGACAATCCAAGTACGCGATCGTCTTGCAGCGCACGTATCGCACGTGGAAACAGCGCCACGTGTTCAAAAAAGTTCGCGACGCCCGTGTGACCCAGTGGAAAGCAGAGGGCGGCGCGAAGTTGGACGCCCACATGACTACGTCGTGCAGCCATCCTGTTTTCCGGGCCCAAGTGTGGACAGATACCATGGCCAAAGCGGCCAAAGTGTCCCAGGAGCTAGTCATCGACCAGGACAAAGAAATAGCGTACGACGAGATCGTGGCCAAGACGACGGAGCTCATGCAGCTCAACTTGGACGAAGAGATCGATCTTTTGGAAGCCGAATTGAACCAGCTAACTGACGAATGCCACAAGGAGTATGCAACGTACGAGGAGCTGGCGGCAGAAGAGGCCGAGATTGACGAGTTGGTCGGGTACTTTCACCGAATTCGCGTCTCGCCCAAGCTCAAAAGCGAGCGAGAAAGTGCGCTGCAGTCTCTTGCCCCGTTTGTCGCGCAAGGAAAGCGCCTCATCATCGACACGAGCCGCCTCGCCAACGAAAACAACCGACTCAGTCACGAACTCATTCGTCTCGGTCAGATGCAACGCGCGTTTTACAAATTTGCGTCCGACCGCTTGAGTTTCGACCCACTCTTGTACGAACTCGACATCCACCGCATGCTCGATGCGCTCGAGCCGCAATGGCAGCCCAACTCAATGCACCTCAAGGATGCTGTCCTGGCTCACGTCGACGCCCGCATGAAATACGCCGATGGCGACGTGCCGCTCGGATTTCCACAGATTACTGGCTCGTAAGCCACGACGACGTTGGTCGCGCCTTCCTGTCCCAATCCATGCAAGTGCCGATTGTTTGCCTCCGTAGAATGTCCCGACGGCATGGAGGGGACCGTTGATGCAGCAGCGCGTTGGTTCAACAGCGATTCCGAAAACTCTATCTTTCGCTTGAACCGACTGAACCGCTTCCATTGTTTACCGAACGACAGTCCCATGCCGCAATTATTCTCAACCCGATCGCTCGAAAAAGAAGCGCTCCAGTGGCGTTGACGCGCTTCTTCATCGCCGTTCATGTCGCACGATCATACGTTCTTGCTGTTTCCACGGTGGATGGTGTTGACGTGCTGCTTGGCACGACCCAACTCGACGGCATTTGCTCGTTCGCCAAACGCGAGGGAGCACTTGGTCTCATGGGCACAGGATGCCGCCGGGTTCACGCACACGAACAGCAGTGTCTTGGCATGGCCGCCTACGCGAAGACAGGAGTCCAGCAACGAACCGCCTTGCATGAATTCTCGTACCGATGGCATCCTGGAGCAACAGCGTGAGCTTACTATCGCGATACGACACGTAGTCTTGCTTGTTTTTCAACTGCAGAAGCACGTGGCGCAGCGCTAGGAGCGACTTATTGATGTGCTGCGCCTCGCTACGCCGTTCACCCTCCTAGGAATCGTCCAAAACGACCCGCACGAAGTCAATGCATGCATCCAGTTCATGGCGCACCGCACCGAGTTGGACGACCCAAGGCGCTCCGACCCGGCCAAGTCGACCAAGTTGATCTTTGATTCGACGACGACGACGTCGCCATGGCGCGCATGGGTCGACGACGGCTTGGTGCGCCGCACCTTGAGCGATGTGATGCTACATCAGAACGCCGTGAGAGCCAATGCACGACGTCCGGCACGCACCAATGCGACCGAGAGCTCGCGTCGTTCAAGTCGTTGGCCGCGACAGCGCGATGGCGCAATGCCTTTTCCATCACGAGCATGCACTCCTCCACTTTCGACACTGCGACCTGTTGCCCGCTTGTCATCCCAACTGGATTCGATCAGGACGTACCCATGTGCGGTTGGGCACAGTCACGCCAAGCTTCTTGTCGACTCGAATGTCGAGCGGCACCGGCGACGGCTGCACGAGATCGAGCACCTTTTCGTTGTACACTTGCAGCACCGACAGGTGCATTTCTACCCTACTCACGTCGTGACACTGTGGCGCAGGAACAGATCGAGGCGCCGCACTCGGACTGGTTGTCTTGGCCTTGGTCAAACACTTGGCGAAACACGCGCGGGCAGAGCCCCCTACAACCCCAACAACCCCGTCAACTCGATCAGCGCGACGTGCCGGTACTTGTTGACGTCGCTGTTGAGATTTCCGAGCATCGTGTGCGTTTTCCCTGATCCAGTCTAACAACGGCGATGACGTGGGCAAAGGCAAACCGCGCCACGCACCTGTCCATACGCGAGGACACACACGTTGTACCCGTCCAGGGCAGACGTAATGAGCGGCTCAACTTCCAAGAACACATCGTCTACGATCAGAATTGCCTCAACATGGTGCGCATCGAAGGCGAATCACAGACGCTGCGTGTGATGCTGGTCAAACACTCGATCGACGTCAAAAGTTGCCACGGACGGCGCGCTCTCTTGGGCCACAACGACGCGCGTTTCCGATTCGACGCGGATGGCAGACGCGAGCGCTCCATTTGTCGCCTTCATGGTCGTGCCGAGAGGTCGCAGCCGACAAAACACGCGAATGTTGCCTGTTCAGAGGTCGGGAATCCCATGATAAATAAAAAATGGACAACACACCTCGAAGCTCCTGGACTGTGTTGTGAAGGTGCCTGCGCTCCGCCATCAGTTCTGCACACTTGGCTTGTAGCGCCGCCATGTCCGAGTCGTAGTGGGACAGACGCCTCGTCCGTGACTGAGAGGCCTCTACTTGTTGCTGCAGGGACATGGACATCTGGGCCATCGCATGCTGCATTTCGGCGACATGGGAGGCAAAAACGGCTTTGAGGGCGTCGTTATCCTGGCGCAGTTGGTGGGCGACGGTGGTGAAGGACATGGTAGGTGTGTGCGAAGTGCCTTCAAGGAACATGTCGACGTCGTTGTTGTCATCGTCGTAGTTGCCCAAAGACGACGTCGGCGGCGCTCGGTCTCCGTTGTGCAATGACTTCATGTAGCTTAGCTGAGCTTGGAGCTGCTGCTTTTCCAGCTGCACCAGCGCGTGCTCCTCGAGGGCCCACGTTAAGTGCTCCTGGGTTCGTTTGTGGTGTTGGTTTGACTTGATTAGTGCCTGTGTCAACGAGTGCACGCGCGTCTGCAAGAAAGATTGTTGGTCCACCTTTAATGCCGGCGCCGGTGCGGTGGTTGAAGGCATGGCCTTGGCGTGAAGTGGTGACACTCGCGGCACAGTGGGAATGCGTTTGTTCCGTTGCTGTCGAAAGTACTCGGGCGTCTCGGGATACCCGTTGTCCATCGCTGGTACTTCTGCCGTCGCATCGATACTTGGCGGAAACAACGGGTGGGCAGTCGGTGTCGCTGACAAGCCAAGGAGGGTTTCTCGCCTGTCCAGCATTGGTTTCTTCTTGGGCTGTCGGCGTTGCGGACTCACAAAGCTGGACGAAGACAGAGACACCGACAAAGATCTGTCTCGTTTCTTGTCCTCCGTGGAAGGGATACGGTGCATTGCTGTTTGGTGGACGGCGGCAGGACGGCGCCGCCAACGTCCAAGTTGCCGACAGCAGTCGTAGAATTGACAAGATTACATGTTATCCGGATTGTATTTATTTGCATTGGCTCATATAAAAATGAAGACAGGTGTGTCCCATAGAATAAATTGGTTTGAATTTTGAACGCATGTTCCGGATAACCTCTTTCGACATTTTCGGTGCAGTTGATTCAAGGCGTGCGCGGCGGCCACGACAAGCGGCAGGGGTTCTCGTGCGTATGGAGTTCCCGGCTTGGAGCCAGCTATCACAGAGAGGGAAGCGGGACTGTCTCCTTTGGTGCCCCTAGGAGACAGTTGTGTCTCTGTTAACGCTCTATACAATGCGTGGTGACATCCTCCTGGGTAGCGGACGCCAGCATGTCCATCTACTTGGTCTTCTTGTCCTCGTTCGACCCCTTGTCGTCCTTCTTGGAGTACCGATCGTCGTAGTACTCCTTTTCAGCCTCCATCTTCTTGACAAACTTCTTCTCGAACCGGTCGCGGTTCTCCGTGATTCGCGCGACAATGTCGTTCACGTCGAGCGTGCGCGGACTAGGCACTTCGATGTAGATACCGGCCTCGCGCGCCGCCTTGTAGTGCACTTCCATCTCGGCCGGGTTGTCATGGCCCTCGCGGCGGCTGCCGTGGACGACCACCGACAGTCGCAACGACGCAATCATCTCCTTTGTGATTTCCCACGGCGCGTCTATGAGGACGTCGTCGACGTAGCGGCAGCCCAGTACACTCAGCACGCGCTCATGCAGGTTCATGATGGGGTAGTTCAGGCCGCGGTGTTTGTTGACCACGCCATCGTTGTGGACGCCAACGATCAAGTAATCGCCCTGACCCTTGGCAAGCTTCAAAATGTCAATGTGGCCCGGATGGAACATGTCCCATGCGCCATCAATATACACGACGCGCGCGTGCGGGCCAGGTTCTTTGTTGCCGACGGAAAAGAGGCGCAGCATGCGGTTCGTGGTGAGGAAGCGCGATGGCCGCGACTGCAGCTGCGCCGAGTTGGCGCTGCGAACTTGCGAGCTGAGCTGGGTGACTGTGTCATGGCGATGGTGCTCCTTGTTCAAAATGAGCATCCGTCCAAGGATGTCCGACGTTGACACGCCTTCTGTTCGTGGAATCGTCCGGTACTTGCCCATCTTTTGCGCGCTCTCGTACACGTCCTTGCCATCAACAATGCATGGGTCGTCGCCGTGAACGATGTAGTCGAGGCGATGCTTCTCGATCATGCGCAGCAAGTACTCGTCGTTCATGATGTATGGACAGTGCGGCTCGACGGCGTCAACGAACTTGCACCCAGCGACGGACGCAATGCGCTCTTCGTCGCACATGACGGGTGGCGCCCCCTTGCACTGCGTGATGCTCTTGTCGTCGTTGACGCCGACGACGAGGTACGTGCCCACGGATTTCGCTTGGCGAAATGCGTTCATGTGTCCGTAGTGCATCATGTCGAACGCGCCGTCCATCCAGATGCGCACCTCCTTCTTCGTCTTGCGGCCATTTTCTTCGTCCTCGGTCAACTCGATGTCGGCAAGCTTTTCCTCGAGCTCTAGCACCTTTTGGGCCGCTTCCTCGAGTTTTTTCTGGAGGTCGTGCCGCCGCGTGCGATGGCGGTTGCCGAAGAACACGTAGTAGAAGATCAGCGTCCCGATCACAGTCACGACCGAGATCGCGAGTCGTTCTGCGTCCGGGTAGGGCGGCGGCACGCCAATGCTGCGCAAGAAGTTGTGAAATTTACTCACTACTTCCGTCACCTGCGGGGTCTGCAGCAGCTCCTGCATGTACAGCACGACCTGCGTCGCGATGGCGTCGTCCGCGGAGGCCCTTGCCATTTCTGTCAATCGGAAGAAAAACTGTGAATTATTGCACCAGTCCTTCGAAATTAAATATAACCTCTAATTGAAGCAATATTATCCCTACAAAATTGTAGGTATTTTTATTCAATTTGACACAAGATCAAATTTCACTTTTTAAAAAGGATCATCGAAACCCGAGAGTGATGATCCATCACTGCTCAAATCTGTGGCCGGCGACTGCGCGGCACATTCGCCGCTGCTATTGGAGCAAGATCTTCTCAAACTGCGATGACTTCGTCGGCAAGAGGTGCTGGAAGGTATCGATGTTCGTGTAGTTCGACATGTGGGTTGGGTGGCCAGCTGCAAACAGGGTGTCGAAGGCGACCTCCTTTGCTGTGAACTCTCGCAACATGAAGTCGGTGCCAAAGACATGGTGGATGCGGGTCTCGTTGAGGCGAACGACGACATTGTCCAAGCGCATCCAGTATCGCGCCAGGACATAGAACCCCGATGGCATAACGCGCTAGGTGGACCAGCGCTGGATGAGTCGTACAATGCAAACAGACAAACGTACAATGCGAACGGAAAAGACCGACACGCCATGGTCATGGAGCTCGTCCTCGTACAAGCTAACATCTTCCATCCATAGAATGTCCTCGCGGACTTTCAGCTTTTCGAAATCGATACGATCTGTTGTCGTGATCGCACGCACAGCGCCGTGGGCAGTGTCTGCAATGCCCTGAGCGTTCACACGCGCCAACGTGCCCTTGTAGTCACTCGTGTAGGTCCAGTCGTACGAGATCTCGAGCTCCTTTACGTCGTCGCTATGTGTACCTTCGTGAGGTCAAAGAGGAGGCAGTCCACACACCTACGTCGTCACTGCGCCTTGGGCACGTGCCATAGAGACCTTGAGCTGCTGTGCGTCGCTCCCCGACTTAAAGTGACAGCAGGATAGCGCTTCAACTGCCAAAAACGAAAGGGCCAACCCAGACGCTTGATGCAGAAGAAGGAGCTGGTTCCCCCCAAACACCATCTCTGGCGGCGTCATGCCGATCGAGTTGCCCAGTTCGTCCAACGCTTGCAGAGGCGTGATGTGACTCTTGTGTGCCACAAACGTCCATCCATTGTGCGTGAAAGGCTCTCCGTGGGCTACCATCGCTTTGGTTACCTCGTTCCTCTCTTCTCCATGCTGTCGGATCTCCGCCACGAGCGCAGTGATCCCAGTCGCTTTGTCGTAGAACTGTGCCATGGCAACGTCGTTGAGGTGGTCTCGCTTTGACTTCATGGGCGGGTTACGAGTTTACCCGCCCGATGCACAGC